GTAAAGACATGTGTCTGACATGTTCACTGATAGCTTCTCGAACATGCGTTTATATCTGTATGTATGTATATATATATATGTGTGTGTACGTACCGTATTTAAATACATATATATATATATGACAGACTGACGTGCTTGCTGACATTTCGATGCAACATCGGGTACAGCGCACTGTAGGCAAAATACCCAAGGGCGTGAATCATGCGGGCTGCTTTCCGTACTGACCTCTCTATGACATGCTTCGTGGCAATTTCACTGACATGTATTATCATTGTCATATATGACTACTGATTCTACTGATGTAGGTATGACATTTGCACAGGCGTTTGAAGCTGACTTGTAAAAAAGAAACTCTTTATCCAGAAGCATATTGGCGGACATTCGTTCATATACTGACATGAGACAAAGAGCACTGGAGGCCCAGAAGACACTTGCGTGGTGTATCTCAGTCAGCAAGTGGTGACCTATATATCTATGTATAATGTATATATATATATATACGGTTGCCGTGTATATATATATTGCTGGGTTATACTGCACAAATCATTGTCTTACCCTCCAACAAACAGTGTGCTATGGAAAATTGCCTATAGAAATAGAGGATTTTGGTCTTAAAATGGTGATTTCCCATGGCAAACTGCTAGTTTACCAGAGGGTACTTTATCCATCAACAGGTTTAGGCCACTATATCCCCATTACATCACCACTTTTTCCCCTTTACATAACCATTGTTTTGGGGGCCAAGGACGTCGACCCCAACCCCAGCCATCCACGTTCACATCGTTCCCTGCAGCGAGCCGCTCGCTGCGGAAGGTCCGGTTGGCGTCCGCACGAAAAATGCGCGCACCCTCCTGAAGGCAAAATTGGCACCAACGCAGCTGGGAAGTAGGTGGTTTATCCAGATGTTTCACCGCTGCTGTATATAATGGTTGCTGGCATGCCCACCATTTGTAGATGATTTCCCTGGCAGTAAACCTCCATTTAGTTTGGCTGGTTCATTGGCTTTTAACCAACGCAAGGGAAAAATCCAACCTGTAAAGTCGTGATACAATCCATAAATGGCAGGGATGACTTTTCCATGCCCAGGGTTGTAGCTCAGGATCAAACCCAGGAATCGTGGACTTAACGGCTCGGCTCACTATGCTTACCATCTGGCCAACTAACATAACTATGGAAAATCACCATTTTTCATGGGAAAATCCACTATAAATGGTGATTTTCCATAGTTATGTTAGTTTACCAGAGGGTACCATCTGGCCAACTTCACATTGGTTGTGGGATCCACCTTTGGGCCGATCCCATCCCCTTCGCTCCGAGGAAAGAGGCTTCGTGTCCACATCCTTGGAGAATGCGGTCATTGGCCACTGCAGGGCATTCAGGAGTGATGTTTGAGCCGTCTAGTACCAGTTGTTGTGCATTCATACGTTGATCATCTTTTGAGTAAGTAAACCCCCCCAAAAAAATAAATGGAAAAGTCCATTTCATCTAATTTCTACTAGTTCACTGACTTTTTTTGGGGGAGTTGCCATTACCTTTTTTTAAAGTGCTATACTTACCTATCCATCACCCCGCCAACTTCGCCGCCAAAAGACGACCCGGCTGGGTTCAACTCCCACATGCGGCAGCCAGGCATTGGCCCTTGCTATCGCCTCATGAGAAGGTTAGGGAGCTAAGGAGCTAGCAGCATATCATATTCCCCATTATATTCCATTGTATAAATCGAAAGAAATAAATAGGAAACCAAAATCAAGGAATGTGCCAGTTTTCCAACCACACCATGGTGTTTACATGGTGTTTACGTATGTTTTGTTGCGGGGAAACAAAGTGGCTTTCATGGACAAAGGGGAATAGAAGCAAAAAAAAACTGGATTTTACGATTCGACCAACAAAGCTTGGGATTTGGTCGAATAATTTTGGAATAACCAACACATGAGGATCTGGGCAAAAAGTGTGATTCTGAGTAAGGAAAACTTGGATTCTAAAATCAGAAATCGGAATTTGAGCAACAAACATTTGGACTCAAGTAAGAAACATTGGGTTTGAAGTAACAAAACCGTGGATGGAACTCACAAATCATGTGAGTTTCACTAGCCAAACCATGCCAAACCTATGGATTTGCTGCGGAAAGCGCACCTTTTGGGGCTTCACTCCTCAGCTTCCCTGGTGCCTCGTCTGTGTGGCCAGCAAGCCAACCAAAATCGAACCTGGACACCGGGGGCGCCGGGATCGCGCATACGGCTTCCACTGGTTCCATGGAAACGATGAGGCCCTTGGTAATTTATGTTAATTTCCGAAATTAATTTTCCAGTTGCTAGGACCTGCTAGGAGTTGACCGTCAATTCTTAGGTCGGTGTAGACCCTGGAAGTCGGAGAGCATCTCATATCAGCCCACCCCCCGCAGGAAAATCAGAATGGAAGTTGTGGTGACACACCACTCCAGGATGATTGCATTTGGGGGTCAAGTCAGCCTGGTACCCAGCTCACAGCAAAATAGCTGCTGGTTCTGAATGGAAAATGAGCCCTGGAGCCACGAAAATGGGGTTCCCCACTTCAGAATGGGTGCATCACCTGACCGGCGTCTGATTTCTCTGGCCATCTTCCAAGTCAGGGGTTCAGTTGGGCCCAAAACAATGCAAAAAAGAAAACAGCCGTTGTAGCTTATAGGCGGTCCCTGTAGTTGAAGGGACTGTAAATAAATTTGGCCAACTGATTTCAAATATAATCAGCCTGGAACCCTGAACAAAGGTGGAAAATCAGCATATAATCAGCATATCAGACCTCACATACATGAGATTCCATGCTCTGTCGCGGTCGCACCTTCTTCTTGCCAGAAGTCAGGCTGAGAAAGGAAGCCTGAACAGCGCGACCTGTCGGCACTGGCGTCTGGACCCGGACAGGGACTGGGGTGGCGACACTTGATTTTTGGAACTTTGAAAATGAACATGTCATTGAAAACTACAATGAAACTACTTCGGTCGAAGTGGTGACCCGTTGAAAATCGTTGAACGAACGAAATGGAAACGCTGCACCAAACCTACGTACGAAGTGGTGCAGTTCAAATTTGAAGCCACCGTGGCACCCACAAGCTTCTAAGCCCAGGGCATGGCCAGGAATCGCCAATTTCTATGGGAGTGGGCTCAGTGCTCAGCTGTGTTTTTTCGTGATTTTCGCAATTTGTGGCTTGGGTTTATTGAAGCCTCGGGATCTTCAATCGCACTCAAGAAATCTGCATTTGGCGGCCTAGATTTAAGTTGACACATACATCTAGGACTCGCACACGAAGGATGTGTCATCGTTGTTTTTCAAGTTGCTTGGGGATTCCCTCCAGCATCAAGTTGTGTAGCGGTTGGATCTGTGTCATATGCCAAGATATACAGCTTTGGAGCAAAGATCGGCACGCACAGTGGGTGGCAGTCCTGTGGAGGGTAGTCCATGGTAGTCCCTCATCAAACTCACTGCGATCTCAGATGTTGAAAACCAACATAAACTGCTGAATAAACAGGAATTGATTGCTTTAAAAGAACTGTTTCTGCTTAAACATACTCAAACCAGAACTTACTGGCAGCACTTCTGCAGCTTCAGTGCGTTTTTCCCTCCTCTCTTTCCGCCAGTCGCCGGAATCAAACACTCCCGTAGCCGCTCGCCATCCGGTCTATCACCTCAATCACAGGTTGAGTCATTCGAATCATTTCCATTCAGAGATGTTGAGAAGTGAATCGTTTTGAGCCAATTCCGCATCCCAACTATTTTGTTGCATGTCTCTGATTTTTCATGGGCTTTGTCCGATGCTGGATCCCATGTGCTTGTAATTGCTGAATTTCATTGTTCTTCTTGAATACCAAATGGTGTTTTTCCAGCATCATGGCATCAGTTTGTCTGAAAATGGGTTTCCCGCCTGCAATTTGATGGTTGAACATCATTTTCCCCCTATATTCCTCATGATGTCATGGCCATAAATTGGGGTTACACAAACTGAACTCCACACTAAACCCCTGCAAGGATCGCCTCAGATGCAAGAGGAAAGCTGGTGCCATCACAAGGCCTGATGCCAGGTCCGGCCAGGCGCCCAGCTTGCCAATTTTGGGAACATAACAATTAATGGGAATATAATTGGGATATGATGGAGATATTACTGGGCATGTGTTTATGATTATATATACATTGTACACAATACATAATATAATATACTATATATAGTTATTTAAGTTATATATATATAATTGACAATCGAGATATCACGTTGGGAAAATGTTCACCTTGGGCATATGTTGGAGAACGTTGGCGTCCATCGATTTCCATGCGTTGATTTGCCAGATGGTACATGGTAAATCGCCTTTAACCAGCACATATTAGGGATATACTTTCCATTAAATCAAGATAGATATGAAAAAAAATGTGTAGATCATCTTTTTGGGGAAACAAGTAGTTTTCTATATTATTTCATATTATATATTTCTATGTTTGTTTACCAGAAGTTGTTTTTTGGAGGGCCCCATCACAACGATCTGAATTCATAATTAAACAAAATGCAAAGCAAAGAGTTGGCCATTTTGGGATGATACCTCCGACCCGAACCAGCATGTGCCAGCAAACGGATAGTATCATCAGCAGACCTACGGAAATTGATCATCTCATTTCACCAAAAATTGGGGAAAGTGGCATACATGGAGGTTCCCAAAATGTGGGTACGCCCGGATCACCCATTTTAAAAGGATTTTCCATTATAAACCATCAATTTTGTGGTATCCCCATGACTATGGAAACCACCAAATCAATAAATCATCCCCCAGTAGATACAGAAACCATTCTCAGACTCCACCTGTTAAAGAGCACGCCACCGAAATTCCTGGTCTGGTGGGTCCATTGGCTTAACTCCCTCAGCCTGCAGGCGCAGGGCACAGGCACCAGCCACCTCGCTTGCGACGTTCCAGGGTAAGATCTATCCTGATGGGAAGTCAATCATAATGATAAGAAAATCCCCACTTGGTAGATGGTTTATCCCCTCACAATCCCATTTTTTAAGCAGCTATTTCACTTGGGATAATCTTAAAAGGCTTCTACTTCCCAAGTTGGGATGTAATTGGACAATGATATACTGGGACTTGATAATTATCACATGATGGGGATGTATTTGGATAGTGGGTATAATGGTATGTAATCTTGATGGAAGGTCAATGAGGTTTTAAGGGAGTTTACCCTCTGGTAATTTAACATCACTATGGAAAATCACAATGTTGAATGGGTAAATCATCTATACATGAACCATTTTCCGTGGCTATCTTAAGTTACCATAGGGTAATTGCATAATGATAGAATGGGAATCATATAGCTAACCATCTGGCCTTGTCTGAAAATGAGGGGAAAAACGCAATTCCATGGTTTAACAACAAAACCTTATTTTCCCCATTAAAATCACGATTTTTGGTGTCTCCCTTATTTCTTGAGACCTGTCTCATCGCTCCATCCTTTGTACATCCCAAACCGCTAGCACACCCCCCTCACAGCGCAATTCAAGAGCTCAGACTTTCCTCAAGACACCGAAACAGCATGAAACAGCATGAAACAGCATTGAGTCCAACAAATTCCAAACTGCGAATCCCAAAAAACGATTCTGAAGTGTTTCCAGGATGTTTCTCAGCTCCCTCAGCTCCCTCAGCTCGCCAGCCTGACTCCTGGAGGTCCCAGTAGTTGAGTCAAGTTCTTGATGGACGAGTCAAACATGTACCTGGCTGTTCCCGGTTGTGCGTCAAAAAAAAACTGGCATTTCACCGGTCAAAAATGCGTAAAGGTGTATTTAACCATCAATAACCATCACTTTTTCCCATGAAAAATGGGGTTGTAACCAATGGAGAAGCGCACGGATTCTCTCCGGAGAAGAAATCCTCAATGGTGGTGATGTTCCTGGCGACCAAAGTTGTAGAATGGGCACCAAGAAATCCGCCGACCCTGGCCTTCGCCAAGGCCGGGGCGGCGCCTGGGACCACCGGAGGTGTGGATCCTGTCTTTCTTGAACCTTTGCCACGCCGTGGATCCTGTCTTTCTTGCACCTTTGCCACGCCCACACTGCAGGCAAACGCCATCACAAGGCCACAGCAATGGCTCAAGGCATCCCCCCGGCCGCAGCAATGGCTTCTTATAGGCGTTCACGGCTGCCGTTTGACAGGCTTCAAACCCTTAAAACGCTTAAAATGCCTCGCCGGCCGTTTGCCTGCATAGCGCTCTGTTGTTACGGCGTCCATGCCTCGGGCACGCCCGCAGGCAAAAGCCACCACAAGGCCACAGCAATGGCTCAAGGCATCCCCCCGGCCGCAGCAATGGCTTGTTCTCGGCGTTCAAGGCTGCCGTTTGACAGGCTTCAAACCCTTAAAACCCCTAAAATGCCTCGCCGGCCGTTTGCCTGCATAGCGCTCTGTCGTTAGGGCGTCCATGCCTCGGGCACGCCCGCAGGCAAAAGCCACCACAAGGCCACAGCAATGGCTCAATGCATCCCCCCGGCCGCAGCAATGGCTTCTTATAGGCGTTCAAGGCTGCCGTTTGCCAGCCTTCAAACCCTTAAAACCCCTAAAATGCCTCGCCGGCCGTTTGCCTGCATAGCGCTCTGTCGTTAGGGCGTCCATGCCTCGGGCCCGCCCGCAGGCAAAAGCCACCACAAGGCCACAGCAATGGCTCAAGGCATCCCCCCGGCCGCAGCAATGGCTTCTTATAGGCGTTCCAGGCTGCCGTTTGACAGGCCTCAAACGCTCCAAACGCTCCAAACCCTCCAAACGTCCGCCCAGCTCCGCACACTCCCGCATGCAAAACGCCCAACTTCGCAGGCAAAAGGTACCCCAACAAGCCCCACAGGCGCCACGACGCTCCAAACGCTCCAAACCCCCCAAAAGTCCGCCCAGCTCCGCAGGCAAAAGGTACCCGAACAAGCCCAACACGCGCCACTCCCGCCTCAAACGTTCCAAACGCTCCAAACCCTCGACACGTCCGCCCCGCTCCGCAGGGAAAAGGTAGCCCAACAAGCCCAACACGCGCCACTCCCGCATGCAAAACGCCCAACTTCGCAGGCAAACGGTACCCCAACAAGCCCAACAGGCGCCACGCCCGCAGGCAAAAGCCACCACAAGGCCACAGCAATGGCTCAAGGCATCCCCCCGGCCGCAGCAATGGCTTCTTATAGGCGTTCAAGGCTGCCGTTTGACAGGCTTCAAACCCTTAAAACCCTTAAAATGCCTCGCCGGCCGTTTGCCTGCATAGCGCTCTGTCGTTAAGGCGTCCATGCCTCGGGCACGCCCGCAGGCAAAAGCCACCACAAGGCCACAGCAATGGCTCAAGGCATCCCCCCGGCCGCAGCAATGGCTTCTTATAGGCGTTCAAGGCTGCCGTTTGGCAGGCTTCAAACGCTTAAAATGCCTCGCGGGCCGTTTGCCTGCATAGCGCTCTGTCGTTAAGGCGTCCATGCCTCGGGCACGCCCGCAGGCAAAAGCCACCACAAGGCCACAGCAATGGCTCAAGGCATCCCCCGGCGACAGCAATGGCTTCTTATAGGCGTTCAAGGCTGCCGTTTGACAGGCTTCAAACCCCTAAAATGCCTCGCCGGCCGTTTGCAATGCTTCCAATACTCCGCCGGCCGGTTGCACCAAGCCCTGTAGCCGTCAGCCCCTGCTGTTCCAGCGTTGCAGCCTGCCGTTTGCCTGCACAGAGCCCAACAGGCGCCACTCCCGCATGCACAACGCCCAACTTCGCAGGCAAACGGTACCCCAACAAGCCCAACAGGCGCCACGCCCGCAGGCAAAAGCCACCACAAGGCCACAGCAATGGCTCAAGGCATCCCCCCGGCCGCAGCAATGGCTTGTTCTCGGCGTTCAAGGCTGCCGTTTGCCAGCCTTCAAACCCTTCAAACCCCTAAAATGCCTCGCCGGCCGTTTGCCTGCATAGCGCTCTGTCGTTAGGGCGTCCATGCCTCGGGCACGCCCGCAGGCAAAAGCCACCACAAGGCCATGGCTCAAGGCATCCCCCGGCCGCAGCAATGGCTTCTTATAGGCGTTCAAGGCTGCCGTTTGACAGGCTTCAAACGCTTAAAACCCCTAAAATGCCTCGCCGGCCGTTTGCCTGCATAGCGCTCTGTCGTTAGGGCGTCCATGCCTCGGGCCCGCCCGCAGGCAAAAGCCACCACAAGGCCACAGCAATGGCTCAAGGCATCCCCCCGGCCGCAGCAATGGCTTCTTATAGGCGTTCAAGCCTGCCGTTTGCCAGCCTTCAAACCCTTACAATGCTTCCAATACTCCGCCGGCCGGTTGCACCAAGCCCTGTAGCCGTCAGCCCCTGCTGTTCCAGCGTTGCAGCCTGCCGTTTGCCTGCACAGAGCCCAACACGCGCCACTCCCGCATGCACAACGCCCAACTTCGCAGGCAAACGGTACCCCAACAAGCCCAACAGGCGCCACGCCCGCAGGCAAAAGCCACCACAAGGCCACAGCAATGGCTCAAGGCATCCCCCCGGCCGCAGCAATGGCTTCTTATAGGCGTTCAAGCCTGCCGTTTGCCAGCCTTCAAACCCTTAAAACCCCTAAAATGCCTCGCCGGCCGTTTGCCTGCATAGCGCTCTGTCGTTAGGGCGTCTATGCCTCGGGCACGCCCGCAGGCGCAGGCAAACGGTATACCCCAACAAGCCCAACAGGCGCCACGCCCGCAGGCAAAAGCCACCACAAGGCCACAGCAATGGCTCAAGGCATCCCCCCGGCCGCAGCAATGGCTTGTTATAGGCGTTCAAGGCTGCCGTTTGACAGGCTTCAAACCCTTAAAACATCTTAAAACCCTTCAAATGCCTCGCCGGCCGTTTGCCTGCATAGCGCTCTGTCGTTAGGGCGTCCATGCCTCGGGCACGCCCGCAGGCAAAAGCCACCACAAGGCCACAGCAATGGCTCAAGGCATCCCCCCGGCCGCAGCAATGGCTTCTTATAGGCGTTCAAGCCTGCCGTTTGCCAGCCTTCAAACCCTTACAATGCTTCCAATACTCCGCCGGCCGGTTGCACCAAGCCCTGTAGCCGTCAGCCCCTGCTGTTCCAGCGTTGCAGCCTGCCGTTTGCCTGCACAGAGCCCAACACGCGCCACTCCCGCATGCACAACGCCCAACTTCGCAGGCCAACGGTACCCCACCAAATCCCTTCACGCTCGCTCGTTCAGGATTCAAGCCTGCCGTTTGCCACCCCTCCAGCTTCTTAACCTGTCCGCAGCAGCGTGTGGACGCTTGCGCTGCCTTTGCCATGCTTGTTGCGGGTTCAAGACTGCCGTTTGAGAGCCTTCAAACGCCGAAACTGTCCGCAGCGGCCCTACACTGTGTCTTGTTGGGGGTTCAAGAGTGCCGTTTGCCAGCCTTCAAAGCCTTAAACCCCCCACAGCAGCCTTACACACTGTCTTGTTGAAGCTTTAAGAGTGCCGTTTGCCGGCCTTCAATCGACTCAACCCTCCGCAGTGACGCTACACACTGTCTTGTTGAAGGCTCAAGACTTCAAACCCCTAAACGCTCTGCAGCCGCCCTACACACTGTCTTGTTGACGCTTCAAGGCTACCATTTGCGAGCCTCCCAACTCCCAACCCCTTACACACTGTCTTGTTGGGGCTGCAAGAGTGCCAGCCTTCAAACCCCTAAACGCTCCGCAGCAGCCCTACACAGTGTTTTGCTGAAGCTTCTACTCAAAACTCCCGTTGCCAGCCTTCAAACGCGTCAACCCTCCGCAGCGGCCTTACACACTCTATTGTTGGGGCGTTCCGCCGTTTGCCGGCCTTCAGACGCGTACTGTTCGCAGCGGCACCACACATTCTGCCGTTGGCGGTTCACGAGTGCCGTTTGCCAGCCTTCAGACCTTTATTCAAACCGTTAAACCCTCCGCAGCGGCTCTACAAACTGTCTTGTTGCGGCTTCAAGACCACCGTTTGCTAGCCTTCAATCCCTAGCCACACTGCCTTGTTGGTGCTTCAAAGGAGGGTCGGCGGCACCCGGGCGTTAGCCCATTCTATTACCCTCTGGTAATTTAACATAACTATGGAAAATTGCCATTTATAGTGGATTTTCCCATTAAAAATTGTGATTTTCCATCGCTATGTTAGTTTACCAGAGGGTAGAGAGGTCATTTGTGGCGACCTGCACATTGATCCACAAAGATCCACAGGTAAAAAAAAGGACATAGTTCTGCAAGTCAAGCAGGATCTGTTGCCCACTGGATGCGGCGTTGTGTCTCTGATGCTTCCGCATTGGCAGAACCAAGCTTTGGGGGTTCGAATCCTCCCAGATCCGATTTGTTCAACTTCTTTGTGAGTCAGGCATTTGCTTCCTGTGGGCACTGTCCCATCCGCAAACCAACCCACTTTCGAGGCACATCACAAAGTATTGCTGGAAGACCCCGACGTCCCTTGGTCAAACTTGGCTCCCCAAAATAGGTTCATTTCTCATGAAAGAGGATACAACGGCAGCCCTGGAAAGACAAGACAGCGTGCTCATGCTTCAAGCAAGGCAGCGTGTCCCACAGAAGCACCAAACACCCCGCAGAATATCCACAATGCAAAGAGGAAAAACACTCGAAATTCGAAAAAGTTTCTTAAAAGGGTGTTTCAATTCAACCCCCGGTTGACGATCTTGCAATTTGGAATTTGCCGTGGAAAATAACTCTCCAATTTCGACCGCTGTACCCAATGTTGTGCATGTGCCGCTCCGGAAGCATTGTGGGATGCGAAGGTACAACATAGATCAACGTAGTAGAGGGCACCACTTTCGTAGTCCAACTGGGCTTCCAACCCAGCAGCTGGAGGATACAACACCAATCTTTACTGGGAATTTGCTCCAGCAAATGCTGCCAGCAGATGCTTGATATTGTTGGCTGTATAAGCTGTGTATATTCCCCCTGACTTTTGGTGATGTTCCCCATTCTTTGTTTAAAGGCCTTCAGGATATCCTCGTTCCTTTCAGATCTACGTGGCCCGGCCTCATTGCAAGATGGAGGGAGATGCAGAAAAGGATTCCTCAAAGCAGCGCGGAGCATCCCATTTGGGGCTACCCACATTTTCACCCAACCTGAGTCTGTCAAAGGAATCTTAAGATCGAGAATCTTGGGTCCCTGTGGTCTAGTTTCAGGTTTGCAGAAATCTTTTGGGTACATATGGCTACGTCATGAGGCGGGGCCTCAAAATCCTCCGTTCTTCTCACGGGACAAAAAATGCTTGGGGATGTCCTATTTGGAGGTTTTCCAAACTTGGCGTCCCCCGTAAAACCGTTAAACCCATGGCTTTCCCCGATCCAAAATGACCACTGGATCTTGGGATCCATGGAGAAAATATGAGAAAATCCCACCTGTGAGGAGCAAGAAGATCACGATCATCAGCACGGCCACCATCAACAGCAAACTGCGGAACTTGGGGGACCGGGGAGCAGGAAAATGGCTTCGCAGAAAGCATTGGAGTTGATGAAATCCTAGGAAGAAGCCTAAAATCTTAGTTCTTGTGTTGTGTTTCAACGTCTTTATCTACAAGGCTCCCCAAAGTCCCAAAGTATCAAAGAGTGACCCCCCGATTCTTAGTTACAGCAACAAAACTAGATGTTCCAAACAGTTGGACACCGCAAGCTGCCGCACCTGCCAGTGCTGAATGAGCCTGGAGCGATCTCCAGAGCCTCCAAGAGACGAGGTCCAGTCATGCTCAGCAGGAAGCAGAGGCAGCTTAAGGAGGTCCACCTCGAAATTTCCATCAGGATGGCAGGATGGCAGGATGGCAGGATGCTTTTTCCAGACTTTTGATGTCAATTTATGGCATGTCAAAATTGTCAAAATTGTAAAAATGAGATGTGTATGGAAATGGTATTGGATGGTACGTTCAATGTTCATGGGATTTGTTCATGGGATTTATGGCATTTTTGCTGGTGAAAAATGGTGAAAGTGACTTTTTAATGGGATTCTCAGGTTCCCAACCTTCAGACAACCCCGTCTGGTTCATAACCCAATCGATAACGGGGCTACAGTCACTGTATCCCATGTGTAATTTGTAACTAGGTTATATGTTGTTGCATTATGCCATTGCTATTTTCACCACCGGAAGATGTGTGCAATTTTTGAACTTCACTCATAGATTTTTCCGCCAACCGAAAACGATGGAAAGGTTAGCTTTTCCCAACCTAAACATACCTAAACCAAGTTAGGAAGAGGTTGTAAGGTAACTGAGAAAGATGAAATCTAAAAAGCCGGTTTTGCCCTTGAGATTGATTGTGGCGCCTGTGTGGAAGGCGATAATGTTCGGATAGTGACCAGTGACCGTCTTCATTTATTGGAGTTTACATGAAATTACTGGAGTATAGCCATATGCTCTGCCCCCACATTCGACTTGCATCATCTGGTAACCTGGTACACCATGTTGTGACCATAAAACAGGACATTGCCATGAAGCAGTCCGGAAAATCGGCAATCAGACGCATGAGGCCCCAACCAGTTCAGAAGTAGGAAGTACTTGTGGTTTCGCCAACCAACGCCTGCAGTTGTGCCATCCAATGCTCCAAAAAGGAAGTTCTAGCTACTCTGGGCTTCATAAGCGAGTTGAACCAAGTACATGTGTTCGCTTCTCATATGGTCCGCATTCATTAAGTGGGATTCTCTGCACTGAAAACGAGATTTTCTTTCGGTGGATGCTCCAAGTATTTGCGCCACGCGCTCCATGCCGTTGCTTGTTTTGGGTGTCTGGCAAGATCCAATCCAAGGGCAATGATGATCCTCGGCCATTGAGATCAAGGATGGCTCTGCAAAGCCATGTCGTGAATGAAATAATTCTCCCTGGTAAAGAACCCACAAAAAGCCCCCCACTTGATTAATGACAGTGAAGCATCTACTTTGAATCTACTCTGATATCTGGTGGGATTTGTATGGACTTGTGGTTGAGCCACCCTGACAAATATTTCTGTGGTTGGGGATAATCATCCCGCTGTTCCAACCACCAGCTATGCGATCTTCCAGCGAGTCTGAGTCACAGACCATACGCAGAATGCAGCAGCCACAGCTGCTGCAGTGGTGAGCTCCTGCAGAGGAAATCAGGGAATGCTGTGATTTCAATGGAATCTTAATGGTGGCTCAATGATAATGGTGGTTTAGTGGGATTTAATGGGGGGAATTTGATGGAATTGTAATGTGGTAATCTCTAATGGGATTTCAATGGGGTCAGATGGTCGAATTGACGTTTAAGCTGTAAGTATCATTGAACCCATCATTCAACCAACCCCCAAGAACATTGGTCATTGCTACTAGACTCGTGAATAGACTCATATGACTCAAATTTCGACTCCAAAATTCTGTGCCAGAGCCTCCGTTGAGGGGTGACCGCAATTTTTCAACTGATGGAAAATCCCCCAAGTTTTTTCGGTTCCCCCAAGGAACCCCCAAGCCGCCACGGCCAGCTCGGGCCCTGACGCTCGGGCCGCTCTCGTCGGCAGATGGCGCACCAGCTGGGTTTGCCAGGGGCCCAGCCCATCTTCTTTCCATCCTCCAATCCCCGACTCAGCAGATTTTTGGGAACAAAACTCCAAGACTTCGCCATTTTTTAAAGCCAAACTATGGTTCAAACCCAAAACTTTGGAGGTTGATACTGTTTATGGCAATACAAACCACAGTTTGGATTTGCTGCCTCAATCCTCTCATTTTTGGGAAAAACCCTTCCAGATGCTGGAAAAGTTCGTGTCACCACATGCCCCGTTTCCAAAGTTTCCGTGGTTTTGGACACGCCTGCCTGGTCTACTGATTTTGCAAGTCCCTCACGCACTCGGCTCCAGTCTTGCCATTCAGGGCACTTTGGAGTTCCCGGATCAGTGAAGGCCGTCTGGATGTAGCTCCACATGGCCATCAGCCATGTGAAATTGAAGAGTAGGGCCAAGTAGACTGGTGGTTGGATCATCCAGTGATACACCACAGATGCAGTGATGTACAGGCTGGTCACCAGGGCAATAGTGCATCCAGACACGCATCTGCCAACGGCGCCATCAGTATCTTCAGACATTGTCAATCAGGTTCGATATCTCATGAAACAGTGCAGGGACAACGAATGCCCTGCATGGAAGTGCCGGAATGTTAGAAATCACTAGCTGCAGGGCTGAAAACCAGGGAGGGGCCTGAGCCTGAAAGACCCAAAGGAACAGCATGGTTTCCCTCCTACAACTGACCACTGGATGGATCTGAATTGTAGATGTCGGGTCCCCACCAATCTTTGAAGGTAACCAACTGAATCAGTACTTCTCACGCAATCCTGTGCTTGTCGTTTTGTAGAGGGCCTCAATTGCAAAACCCTTCGGAAGGCTCATTCGAAGTACCAAGGTTTTCTCTCATCCAACAATCCCATGGACTGAAACTGTACGAACTTCCAGTCTGCTGCAACATCAACTTCACCCCGAAACAGCAACAGCCCACAAATCAATACAAATCACAGTTCCCCAGTTCCCCTCGCAAGAAAAACTTCAACTTTTTGCGACACACAGCACGCCTGCACACGGCAAACGCACCAGTCTGCTATCATTCTGTGTCCATTCGTTTGCCGGAAGCACCACTTGTGTCGCCACGGAAACCACAGTAGTTCGGTGCGACCTCCAGGCGAAATGAGAAATCAAACATCAGGAACAACTGCCATCCCTCCATCCTCCCGTGAGGTTTGGCGACATTCAAAAGCTTGAAAAAAAACCTGCCAGCATCTGGGTAGCAACTGACTCACAACTAGATCAAGACCAAACCTGATTTAGGGTAGATCGAATATACATAGAAGGTGAGGCACCCTAGTTGTGAATTGGTGTATTATAACCCCATCAAGTATAGTGATAATTAGTTATATCCGTCCGAAACCCCAGTCAGTTAACCAACTTATAAATCAACTTAGCTATCCAAGGGCCTCACCCTGGTTTTGTATACACATGATCTGTGCTTTTCCAAGTTCAATTCCAGTGTTTGCTGGTTTTCATCCTCCACCCTTCACCAGTTGACGCAGTCTCCCAGACAGGCTTTTTTGTATGGGTCAAAATTGGGTACCCTCAAAAATTGGATAGTTGAATACTAAACATTGACAGTTTCTGTGGTTCTGTCTGTGTCAAGAATTTCGACCCACACCCATTTGATGGTGATTTACCCGAGTCAATTCCGAGTGAGTTTTCCCTTTCTACGCTGAATTGCTGGAGGGTAGGTCCGAATTGTTCCATTCAATTGTGACGGGTCATTCCCCGGTTTTGGTGGATAAATCATGATAAATCACCATGTTGGATTGTTCTATTTGATGGTTAATGATCAGCACACACCCATCACCTGCTCCGTCAGGTTTCAACCGCCAAAAAATACACCAGCTGGGTCCTGAGAAAGCGAAAAGACAAGCATAAAGGAAGGATCACTCACATTCCACAAACATGGCCAATGATGGTCACAGTAAGCCCCCAAAAAAGGAAAAATGTGATGTGTGTATATATATATAGTGTTTTATCATATTGTATCTTTATTTCTTAGAGAATCGGATGTAGCTTTTCTGTACCTGTTCAAGTGATGGATACTGGTGGTGAATTCTGGTGGTTGATGACGACCATCTCCAATTGGAAAGGCATGGTGAAACTATGGTGCTTTCACCAACAATGAAAATAGGAAGCTAACCATCAAAAATGGTGATATACCATCCCCCAACCAATCTTGGAAAGGCATGCCTTTCCAACGCATCAAGACATGCTGTTCCACAACTGATCTCGGCTGCATCAACCCTGTCATTTTTGGTGAAATCGGGAGTCTCCGTCGATGGATGCAAACTACACAAAACACCTGACAATCTAATCTGGCAAGAACCAAATTTCCCTACACCCACTTTTTGATGATTTTCCTATTTAGGACCAGGTTTTGCAAATTGCCAGATTGGATTACCAGAGGATAACGAGGTTTAGATCTGCCCCAGGCCTCAGTCATTGCGGATCTTGACGCCACTACGACCATCGCCTGGTCTGTTTCGCCAAGGCTTCAATCTTCCCCTTCATCTCTGAATCCTCACAGGGTCAGGTTTTCCCCCCAGCTCCAGGATGGAGATCCAAGGATGGCCCCTACTTCAACCACCCAAGAAATGCAGGAAAATACCATGGTTGTTGGGGATGTCTTTGGGTAAGCCTCCAAGTCTTGATGAAAAGTATCCCATTAATCGACCCAGACCCTTGCAACCCTTGCAAGCGTTTTGGTGATGACACTTTTAAGATCCCTAGAGACACCAGGACATGCTGCGGCTACTTGAATTTGTCCCTTCCTCTGAACCGCTCTGCTCTTCGCTTCCTTCCGGGGTTCTCCACGTCAGCAAAGCTCTTTGTTTGCATCTCCTGTTCTTCCTCACAGTCTTGAAATCGAATGTTGGAACTGGTTCCCCTACCATGAATTCGAATGTGGAACCTCAAGAATGGTGTCCTGAAGATGATTTTACTACCAGATTGTGGCCCTGTTTGGATTCCGTATTGAATTTAGGCATGTAACCTCTGTCATTTGCCCACCACCACGACAAACACATGTCAGCATCCACCACCAGACCTCGAGCGATCCCTCTCACAGAATTGGTTGAAGCGAAATCTTACAGGTTTTACACCCACCATAGAGATAACAACATGTAAAACTCGTGTTTTTTCCCTGTAAGATGTTGCCTGGAAAACCCTCAAGCCGATGGATGAATCCCCCCATCTTAACCATCCCCAATACATCTTAACAGTTGAATATAGCCCCCATCATATTACCCTCTGGCAATTTAACATAGCTATTGAAAATGGCCATTGATAGTGGATTTACCCATTGAAAATGGTGATTTTCCATAGTTATGTTAGTTTACCAGAGGGTAAACATTACAGAACCATATAACACCAAGAAACCACCGAGAGGTCCCCATGATGGCCATGGTCCTCATCCCCATATGGTCCAGAAAAGCCTCCATGGCCGCACTCACCCGTGAGTTCCTGTACCAAGTCAGGTCCCAAAAAGATCAACGATGCATCAAGAGGGGGGGTACCTGAGCATCATGAAAATCATTGGAATATTATTGATACTCCTTTTGGAAAATGACCAGAGAATTTCTAGGTGGGTTTTAACCTGAAATAAAGGAAACTTATCGGGATATGAAATTCAATTGCATTACTATTGACCAGCAAACAATGGGTTTGTCATTGAAAATGGAGAATTTACCCAAAATTATATGGTCATAAAATAATAGGCAAATTATTTTGAAATTTGGGGTACCTTGAAGATTCAGAAACCTAAAGATCGGGCCATCTTAACAATTCATCCATGTTTCAAGGTCCAGAATCAAACCATCCATTTCTTTGTGGTCAATCATCTGGACCCATTCACAATTCCAGAATCAAACCATTCATTTGTTGTACTTTGGGTGAAAATCTGCAGAAAACATCTGAAAACTACCTTTCATAGTCTTTCCTGTATCCAAGGTTGCCTGCCCCATGGTTTTTCCCGTGTCCCTCAACCACGAACGACAGCTGGGGCTTGGGCGAACACTGGCAGCCGTCCGCAAGAGACCTGGGCCATGTTCCACTGGATGCAACGCAAAATCATGACTGGATAACTGGCTGGTTTCAATGCCCAAAATATGAATCAATTTCTACGTAGCATCCCAACTACGATGGAAACTCAAACAATCTCAAACATGTTCCAAACCACCAAGCAACAATGATTGTGTATACATAATTATTATGTACAAATATTGTGTATAATATGTATATATATATGTAGTATTATCCCCCCAATTCAGCCATGATTTTCCCATGGCTTCTTCGCTTGGATCGCTGGGAAATCCCCAGCACAACCGAAAGCCGAGTTCACCCCTTGAGATCCTCGGGAAACAGTTTCCATTGTAAACCATCCAGCTATTGGGATACCCCACCAATAAAGAAACCCCCATATAGTGAGTCTATTAACCAGCCACAATGGGGATAGAAGGGGATATATCATTATCAGTCTATTATATATATATATGTATGTATATGTATATGTGTATATATATACATACATACACACATGTATGTATGTATATATACATACATACATACATTACATTACATTACATTACATTACATTACATTACATTACATTACATTACATACATTACATACATTACATACATTACATACATTACATACATTACATACATTACATACATTACATACATTACATACATTACATACATTACCTACATTACCTACATTACCTACATTACCTACATTACATACATTACCTACATTACCTACATTACCTACATTACCTACATTACATACATTACATACATTACATACATTACATACATTACATACATTACATACATTACATACATTACATACATTACATACATTACATACATTACATACATTACATACATTACATCCATACATACATTACATACATTACATACATTACATACATTACATACATTACATACATTACATACATTACATACATTACATACATTCATACATTACATACATTACATACATTACATACATTACATACATTACATACATTACATACATTACATACATTACATACATTACATACATTACATACATTACATACATTACATACATTACATACATTACATACATTACATACATTCCATACATTACATACATTACATACATTACATACATTACATACATTACATACATTACATACATTACATACATTACATACATTACATAAATTACATACATTACATACATTACATACATTACATACATTACATACATTACATACATTACATACATTACATACATTACATACATTACATACATTACATACATTACATACATTAAATACATTACATACATTAATTACATACATACATTAATTACATACATACATTAATTACATACATACATTAATTACATACATTAATTACACACATTAATTACATACATTAATTACATACATTAATTACATACATTAATTACATACATTACATACATTACATACATTACATACATTAATTACATGCATTAATTACATGCATTAATTACATGCATTAATTACATACATTAATTACATACATTAATTACATACATACATTACATACATACATTACATACATACATTACATACATACATACATACATTACATTACATTACATTACATTACATTACATTACATTACATACATTACATTACATTACATACATACATACATACATTACATTACATACATACGTACATACATACATACATACATTACATACATACATTACATACATACATTACATACATACATTACATACATACATTACATTACATTACATTACATTACATTACATTACATTACATTACATTACATTACATACATACATACATACATACATACACATATATATATATACACATACTATGGGTTGGAGTGAAAAATTGAGAAATGAACCCCAATATACGGCTATGTTCAAACAAACCCACAATACTATGTTTCTATCATTCCTCCCATCCAGTTCTTTGGCTTGATGCTTCCTGGTACAGGATGATTTGGGCTTGGAACTCCATGTTCCTTTTTGGGAATGTGAAAAAAAGTGCATCATGCTGTGCATCTATTAAAATCTGGCTGGAATCACCCTGAAAAGGATGAGTGGGCATCATTAGGGACCATCCCAGGGGTTGAGTCCCACTTGTTTCTTTCTCACTCTCCACATTCATCTCTCCCCACATCCCTTGTAAAATCCCTGAGTCTCTCACGACGTTTCTGAAGTGCTGCCATCAGCGTGCCCAAGACACCTGCAGACTGCAGGGCCTCACGCGTGGTACGGTCCCACGGGGATTTCTCTTTGGATCACTGGGTTTCCCATGGTTTCCCATGAATCCCAGCCCCAAAATGAATAAACCCAGCACTAAGCAAGGGGCCCTGAGGGGCCCTAGGTGGGTATCTGAGATTAGGCCCCAAAATGAGGTGATGAACTCCCTGGCTCAGCTCAGTTCCAAACATCTCAGCCTCAGACAGTGTGCGATGTGGCATTCATCCAAAATGCAGTGGAGGTGAACATCACGTGTTTTGTTTGCAAAGTCACCAAAAATTATCAAAACGTTGCCACAATACGATTGACTGCTGAATTGCAATCCTCCTGCCGCTGATTTTCCAGCTGAATTGAGCTGTCACTTCACCCCAGCGGCCACTTGTGCCAGGGGTGAAAACTTCTCATGGACCTCTTCTTTGGCGAAAAAGTGGAGCACTTCCAGTTGATATTTTTCAGCTGAAATCGCCAGGTGGTCAATTTCTTTGCCCATCTCCTCCAACCGCGCTTGGTGCTCTGCGAAGGCCTTGTCGACCTGGGGCCATGTTGGACTGGTAATCCCTTCCCTGTGGCCTTGCAGAGTCTCCATGTGGGCTATTCAATATTCGGCGAGAGGGATCGTTTTGTATATTATAATATTATATATATATATTATTATATATATATACACACAGCAATAGAATTCTGACCTACAGCCTACAGCACTGGACATCAATTCCTTCCAAGCCATCATGGCCAACTACAGCTGAGCGCCCACACGGCTCGGGCCTTTTGAGCAGCATCTTCCCTGGCATCCTCCACGTTGTAGGCAATGTCGGCCAAACCTTCCAAACCATCGGTGGACTGCTTCAAGTCGTACTTGGCCTGGCGAGCTGCAAAAACTGCTACTCTGTCCTGGATTGCTGGAAAATCCCCATTTTTGAGGTGATGTCCTGGATTGCTGGATTTCCCATGGCCCGGAGGCTACAGAAGTTTTGTTTGGTGGTCTTGAGAGTGCCGAAAAGTGACAAAGCATTGATGCTGAACAACTATACCCGTCCTTTTGGGACATCTGTAAATCCCACAGTCTCTTCGAACGTTTCACCTTCACCCCCCCGCCTGTGGATGTTCTTTTCCCGACAAAACCATTGGTGGCTCCTTGACTTCGGTGTCATTTGCTGCCGCCATCCGATCTCGGAGGATCTCACGTAGCCTGCCAGTTTTCCTCCAATTCCTCCTGTTGATCCTGGCAGATCTTCGAAGGCTGTACAGCACTCGCTGCACCCCCTGCAAGAGCCGACTTCGAGCCATCTCCGCTTCCGCCTGGTCGCTGCCAAGCGTCACATCAAGGTCCTTGAAGATCCGGGTACCGCTGCGAGCACCAAAGATGTGGGAGGTTTCTAAGTCACTGACACCGGACCTTTCGAGCGGACTCTGAGGGCTGCCTTGAAACCATTCATCCGTGGGAACCACTGAATTTAGCGTCTCCCACAGCTTGTCATCATCTCGTACGCATTCGGCTGGTGACAGATATGTTGAGAAAGCCACAAAGTGAAGGCCTTTCCAGTGCTGGAGCCTCATCTACTATACCAAATCATAGGCAAAGATACTCTTTTGCAAACTACAACTCGAGCCCCTTGAGCCTCAACTGCCTTTTCAACCATGCATACCATGCTTTCGGCGACTGCAACTCACCTTGGGCTGCGGGTACATGGCAGGCATCCTGCAAAAATAGGCTGCTGTGCTTACGGTGTTGCATCAACCCATCCACCTGCCGGTAGAGGAGCACCGTGATTTGGGGTTGTCCAAAAATCCAATTTCAACAACAGGAATACGAATGGTGAACTGATGTTAACTGATTTACATATCATGTTCTTCCCATAGAGATTGCCATGTAACTGGGGGGTGTAACTCCCTTTTCCTGGTCAAAGCCATCCTTGTTGAGGCCCCCACGCCCATGGCGAACTTCATCAAGTCCTTAGCACTGCAAAAATGATGCAAGGATCCGAAATCTATCGTTGGTTCCATTTCGATTGCTCAAGCAGACAATAATCCAAGGTGTTTTTCCCCAACAGTCCACAACCAAGCCAGAAAAAAGTTGCTCCATCAATCGAAAATAAACAAAGGAACCAATTCAATGAGGAGAAAAAAAAAGAACTCTCAATTATAACAGTTCCATGGTCATCCATGGCCTTTGTGTATAGCACTCTAATTATCCATCAACGGTGTTTTTTTAGTGCCCAACAAAGCCTATAATGTTAGTAATGCAATGTCATAAACCATACAAATTGATGCTTTCAACTCGACTCAACATGGTGATGACTTGGGGATTCCCTGATGTTACTCTTGCTTTTCACATTCTTCACCACAGAATGTTCACAACAGAAGAATCATCTCAGGCCAATGGACCGAAGGCCAGGGCCGCTCCCTTCTGTTGGCTTCCTGCCGCCGCCATGGCGGAAACGCCCCCGATTTTAGGGGCCAGAAATGTCCCTTGTGTGGGAGAAAGATTTTCTCAATTTTGGCGCTAGTAATTTTCCTTTTAAAATTCCTTTTAAAAAGTGCGTCAAAATCGTCTTTTTGTCGCTTTGGCGTCGAGATCCGGTTTTGGAGCTGCACTTTCCGACGCCGTTGCGCGTAGTTCTATTGTGTTTTGCAAGTCAGTCTCTGCAGATCGCAATGTAATGGCTGCGTCAAGGTTGCTTCGTTCCGCGGCTGCATGCGTAATACTATTGTCTTTTGCAGCTGGATCTCGTAAATAGTATTGGAGTGTCTGCATCAAGGCTGCGACAGTGATTTGTCAGCAGATTTTTCAATGTTGGCGCTAGTAATTTTCGCTTCAAAATTCCTTTTAAAAAGTGCTTCAAAATCGTGGTTTTGTTACTTTGGCGTCGAGATCCGCCGGTCTTGGAGCTGCAATTCCTGTTGTGATAAAACGCTTGCTGTGTGTAAAAGATCTTGTGTGTAAAAGCTTGCTGCGTGTAAAAGTTTCTCTGTTTGTAAAAGCGTCTCAGTGTAAAAGCTTCTGTGTGTGTAAACGGTTGCCATGTGTAAAAGCACTGTGTGTAAGCGTCCTGTGTGTAAACGCTTGCTGTGTGTGAAAGCTTGCTGTGTGTAAAAGCTTGTTGTGTGTAAAAGCTTGTTGTGTGTAAAAGCTTCTCTGTGTGTAAAAATTTCTCTGTTTAAAAAGCTTGCTGTGTGTGTGTAAACGCTTGCCATGTGTAAAAGCACTGTGTGTAAGTGTTCTGTGTGTAAACGCTTGCCATGTGTAAAAGCACTGCGTGTAAGTGTTCTGTGTGTAAACGCTTGCTGTGTGTGAAAGCTTGCTGTGTGTAAACGATTTTGTGTGTAAATGCTTGCTGTGTGGAAAGGCTTCTCTGTGTGTAAAAGCGTCTTTGTGCAAAAGTTTCTGTGTGTAAACGCTTGCCATGTGTAAAAGCATTGTGTGTAAGTGTTCTGTGTGTAAACGCGTGCTGTGTGTGAAAGCTTGCTGTGTGTAAAAAAGCTTCTCTGTGTAAAAGCTTCTGTGTGTAAAAGCTTCTCTGTTTAAAACGTTTGCTGTGTGCAAAAGCTTCTCTGTGAAAGCACTTGCTGTGTGTAAAAGCTTTCTTTGTGCAAGCTTCCTTAAGAAGTAGTGGGAAATACTTTGTGCAAGCTTTGTAGTACAACTGGGAAGTACTTTTTGCAAGCTTTGTAGTACAAAGTAGTACTGGGAAGTACTTTTTGCTAGCTTTGTAGTACACAGTAGTACTGGGAAGTACTTTGTGCAAGCTTTGTAGTACACAGTAGTACTGGGAAGTGCTTTGTGCAAGCTTTGTATTACAAAGTAGTACTGGGAAGTGCTTTGTGCAAGCTTTGTAGTACAAAGTAGTACTGGGAAGTAGTTTGTGCAAGCTTTGTAGTACACAGTAGTACTGGGAAGTGCTTTGTGCAAGCTTTGTATTACAAAGTAGTACTGGGAAGTAGTTTGTGCAAGCTTTGTAGTACACAGTAGTACTGGGAAGTACTTTGTGCAAGCTTTGTAGTACAAAGTAGTACTGGGAAGTACTTTGTGCAAGCTTTGTAGTACAAAGTAGTACTGGGAGGTACTTTCTGCGCGCTTTGTAGTACAAAGTAGTACTGGGAGGTACTTTTTGCAAGCTTTGTAGTACAAAGTAGTACTGGGAAGTAGTTTGTGCAAGCTTTGTAGTACACAGTAGTACTGGGAAGTGCTTTGTGCAAGCTTTGTAGTACAAAGTAGTACTGGGAAGTAGTTTGTGCAAGCTTTGTAGTACAAAGTAGTACTGGGAAGTAGTTAGTGTGCAAGCTTTGTAGTACAAGTAGTACTGGGAAGTGGTTTGTGCAAGCTTTGTAGTACAAAGTAGTACTGGGAAGTGCTTTGTGCAAGCTTTGTAGTACAAAGTAGTACTGGGAAGTGCTTTGTGCAAGCTTTGTAGTACAAAGTAGTACTGGGAAGTAGTTTGTGCAGCTTTGTAGTACAAAGTAGTACTGGGAAGTAGTTTGTGCAAGCTTTGTAGTACAAAGTAGTACTGGGAAGTGTTTTGTGCAAGCTTTGTAGTACAAAGTAGTACTGGAACGTGTTTTGTGCAAGCTGTGTAGTACAAAGTAGTACTGGGAAGTGGTTTTTGCAAGCTTTTGTAGTAGACATCATCACTGGGAAGTACTTGACATGAAAATAGCCAAGAAGAACTTAGCTGACATATGGGAAGACCTGGAATGAGATGAGAAGAGCTCAGATGAGATTAGTTGAGATGAAGTGCAAGTGTGAAGTGTGGAGTGTGGGGTGTGAAGAGAGCAATGTGAAGTGTGAGGAAAGTGTTTGCATTGCACCGGGGTCGCGCGCAGGTCATGTTCTTGGACAGCAACACTGCAACAGCTTCGCACAAAGCACGCACGCACGGGCCTGGCTGGCGCACGGCGCATGCAACTTCCTTAGTAGTAGTACTGGGAAATGATTCATGAAAGCTTGCATGACATCTGAGAAGAGATGATGAGATGAGAAGAAATGAGCTGGGATAAGGTGAGAAGAGCTCAGATGAGATAAAGTGTGGCGTGTGAAGAGTGCAGTGTGAAGTGTGGGGCGTGAAGAGTGCAGTGTGAAGTGTGGAATGTGGAATGTGGAAAAAGCAGTGAGAAGTGAGAAGTGTGAAGTGTGGACTGTGAAGTTTCAAGTGTGAAGTGTGAAGTGTGGACTGTGAAGCGTGAAGTGTGGAGTGTGAAGTGGGAAGAGTGCAGTGGGAAGTGTGAAGTGTGGAGTGTGAAGTGCGAAGTGGAGCTTCAAATGTGACATGTGAAAGAGGACACCACTTTCGCAGAGTGCACGCACGCACGGGCTTGGCTGGCGCACGGCGCATGCAAGTTCTATAGATGCGAAAGGTCTTATATATATATATATATATCTTTAAGGCAACTTCCGCCCCGCCTCGTGCGGGTACTACTGGTAGTTGTCAATGATTGAATTTAGTTGGATCAAGTGTTGACCCCGTGCAGTTTGTTAGATGGCATTCTGTAGCTTCATGATCTGTTTGTGTCCATGTAGTCCATGTACATTTCACGCACTGTTTCCTTTTTTCCACCTCTTCTCACTTCAAGTCAACATATACAACTACAAAATGCAAAGGAGGATTTGAAAGGAATCAACTACAAAATGAATGCAAATACAAAAAGGTGGAGCTGGCATTCTGTACTGTAGCCCAAGTCCTCCCCTTTACGTAGCTAAAATTTGAAGGAGGATCCAATTTTCCCAATTGTTAGCCCTTTTGGGGATCAAAACAGCACATGGAGGTACAGGCAGAGTTGCCAGAAACCAGCAGCTTCATGACTTCCCGTCCTCAGCCCTCTCTCCAGGAAGTTGACTCGCAAGACCTGCAACTCGCAAGGCTTTGGGAATCACATCCATTGCCCTGCCGTTTGCGTTGCCGTTTGCGGCGTTCACCAATGCCACTGCAGCATCGATGTATTCCTGGGTGCGCCGTTGAATCCACGGAGGATTGGCCTCTTCCGAAGCGGAGCGATTTGGACCCGATGCTTCTGGGAGGCTGCAGCTCTGTCCAGCCATGGCAAAGAACCGTGCAGGTTCAAAGCAACGCAAAGCCACAAATCTCACAACGTGTGGAAATGGCATTGGATCATCGATCTTTGGAACTGGGATGGTTCTCTCCTGCCCTGGCAATGATGGACCAATGATGTCGCCGATTCGACCCATGATCACCAGATCGTAGCTGATGGCAACCAAGTCACAGAAAGTGCGAGGAGATCGGTGAGAAATCTCTCCTCACTGGATCTCACTGGTATGTGGTGGGCCCAGTAGACCCAAAATTCATCCACCCTTTGGAACCCATTCATCCCAGTCATCAAATATGTTTACCTCTCCAATATTTCTATGGCCATATCATGGAAAAGCTGCGTAGAGAAAAATGTGCCAATTTGTGTTTATAGGCACCAACTTTGCTCAGTTCCTTTGTCGCCCCAAACAGCCTCCCTGAATCAACAATTCTTCATCAGCCAAGGAAATAACTCCCTTGAGGTACCCGCCAAGAAAAAGTGTTGTACAATTCGCATCGCACTGGTGGTGACAATCCCCACAATGTGAATCTTCTTATAGACACTTATCAAAGGTTCTCCAAGTGAAAATTGGTTCAAAATGCCTTGGACCAAGTCTCTTTTCCAATCCAAGAAAATACCTTGGACGACAACCGAAGAATTGCGCTCCCGAATGGTCACAGTGCCCCTGCAGTTTGCAGGGTTTCCTACCTGTGTTACAGGTTTACTATCTGCGTAGACTGCGGGTATACCTCTATACAAACACAAGGCGGCGGCGGAAGTTTCCAAAGTCTGTTTGTTTTTCTACCTGTCTGTCTGACTGTCTGACTGTCCGTCTACTTTTCTATCTTACCTTTTCATCGATCTGTCCATCTATCTACCTTCGAACTACCTATCTAACGATATATCTATCTATCGATCTATCTATCGATCTATCTATCTATCTGTCTGTCTGTCTGTCTGTCTGTTTGTCTCTCTGTCTATCTGTCTATCTGTCTACTTGAGGCCCAGGGGGGGTGAACGAAAGCTAAATGGCAAATGAATGTGGAACTAGGTGAGGTGAACTCGGAAACATGCAGGGAAGGGTAGACGAGAGTGATCCACATGGAAGGATGCAAGAGGGTGTCGCAGAAGAAGTGTAAGTTTCAAGTTGCAATCCTATAACATGTGAAGCATGCGTAGTGGAAAAAGTTAGAAGACGGTTTCGCTAGAAAGTTTGCAACATGTGGACCAAAGAAGATGGTGACTTTATGATAAAGTTTGGGTCCCATCGAAAATTATAATTTTCTATGGGGCTCAAATCGACACAGTGTTGATTTGAGGTAGAAAGAACGCTATGGAGCCTAAATTCTGGTGAGGCGTCTTGTGCATGCGAAGAACAGGTAGGCGGTTGTTGCAAGTCGGAAAACAGCAGAAGCAAAGAAGACGGTGTCTGTAGAAAGTTTGCAACATGTGGACCAAAGAAGATGGTGACTCGATTATAAAGTTTGGGTCCCATCGAAAATTATAATTTTCTATGGGGCTCAAATCGAGCCAGTGTTGATTTGAGGAACGCTATGGAGCCTAAATTCTGGTGAGGCGTCTTGTGCATGCGAAGAACAGGTAGGCGGTTGTTGCAAGTCGGAAAACAGCAGAAGCAAAGAAGATGGCGTCTGTAGAAAGTTTGGAACATGTGGACCAAAGAAGATGGTGACTCGATTATAAAGTTTGGGTCACATCGAAAATTGTAATTTTCCATGGGGCTCAAATCGACACAGTGTTGACCTGAGTTAGAAAGAACGCTATGGAGCTTAAATTCTGGTGAGGCGTCTTGCGCATGCGAACAACATGTAGGCGGCCGTTGCAAGTCGGAAAAGATCAGAGCCAAAGAAGATGGTGCCGCTAGAAAGTTTGGAACATGTGGAGCAAAGAAGATGGTGACTCTATTATAAAGTTTGGGCCCCATTGAATATTTTAAATCGAGACTGTGTTGACCTGAGGTAGAAAGAACGTCATGGAGTCTAAATTCTGGTGAGGCATCGTGCGCATGCGAACCACATGTAGGCGGCCGTTGCAAGTCGGAAAACAGCAGAACCAAAGAAGATGGTGCGTCCAGAAAGCTTGCAGCAGGGGGACCAAAGAACATGGTGATTCTATAATAAAGTTTGGGCCCCATCGAAAATTATAATTTTCTATGGGGCTCAAATCGAAACAGTGTTGATTTGAGGTAGAAAGAACGCTATGGAGCCTAAATTCTGGTGAGGCGTCTTGTGCATGCGAAGAACAGGTAGGCGGTTGTTGCAAGTCGGAAACAGCAGAAGCAAAGAAGATGGTGTCTGTAGAAAGTTTGGAACATGTGGAACAAAGAAGATGGTGACTCTATAAAGTTTGGGCCCCATCGAAAATTATAATTTTCCATGGGGCTCAAATCGACACAGTGTTGACCTGAGTTAGAAAGAACCCTATGGAGCTTAAATTCTGGTGAGGCATCTTGCGCATGCGAACAACACGTAGGCGGCCTTGCAAGTCGGAAAACAGCAGAACTAAAGAAGATAGTGCCTCCAGAAAGTTTGGAACATGTGAACCAAAGAAGATGGTGACTCTATAAAGTTTGGGCCCCATCGAAAATTTGTAATTCTCCATGGGGCTCAAATCGAGACAGTGTTGACCTGAGGTAGAAAGAACGTTATGGAGTCTAAATTCTGGTGAGGCATCGTGCGCATGCGAACAACACGTAGGCGGCCTTGCAAGTCGGAATACAGCAGAACTAAAGAAGATAGTGCCTCCAGAAAGTTTGGAACATGTGAACCAAAGAAGATGGCGACTCTATAAAGTTTGGGCCCCATCGAAAATTATAATTTTCCATGGGGCTCAAATCGACACAGTGTTGACCTGAGGTAGAAAGAACGTTGTGGAGTCTAAATTCTGGTGAGGCATCGTGCGCATGCGAACAACACGTAGGCGGCCTTGCAAGTCGGAAAACAGCAGAACTAAAGAAGATAGTGCCTCCAGAAAGTTTGGAACATGTGAGCCAAAGAAGATGGTGACTCTATAAAGTTTGGGCCCCATCGAAAATTATAATTCTCCATGGGGCTCAAATCGAGACAGTGTTGACCCGAATCAAAAAGAAGGATATCGAGGAGACTGTTTTGGTGAGGCATCTTTGTATCCGGACAAAATGTACACTTCTGTGGAGGTCGTAAAACATCGAAATGAAAGAAGATGGTGTCTTTAGAAAGTTTGGGCCCCAGCCAATATTATAATTTTTCATGGAACTTAAATTGGTTGACCTGAAGCAGAAAGAACTCGATGGATGCTGTTTGTGCCCTGCATCACATCTCAACAAGCGGCTTGCTTGCATTGGGCTACATAGTGGTGTATCTATATATATAATGTGTATGTATATACATCACTATGCATGTGTATATATATACACACAACTATGTATATATACAATTATGTATTATATATATATATATATACATATGCACCAATATATATATATATATATACTCAACCAAATCTAATGAGAGAGGATGACTGTACAGATATGTTTGTTGACACCTTTCTTTTTATGGCTGAGCAGCTGCGGAATGTGTCGGCGATGGATGCTGTTTGTGCCTTGCATCACATCTCAACAAGCGGCTTGCTTGCATTGGGCTACATAGTTATGTGTATATATATATACATGTGTATATATATATATAATGTGTATGTATTATACGTGACTATGCATGGATATATATATGTATGTATATATATCTATATATACACACAACTATGTATATATACAATTATCTGTCGGCTGCGGAATGTGTTGGCGGACATCAAATGGACAGGGAAAAAGAAAACAACAAATGGACGGCCCTGGCAGGATTCGAGCCCGTAACCATCTGCTTGCGAGACTGCTTCAAAATGCCCCGGGAGCTTAGGGGGGGGGGGTTCAAGTGAAAAATCACTGTGTTGGACGCAGACCTGCCCCCCCTTGCTGAAGCAAAAGTTACTCAGCTAGCTACCGCTAGCTTTCGTGATCTGTCTATCTGTCTATCTGTCTATCTGTTTATCTGTTTATCTGTCTATCTGTCTCTCTGTCTGTCTATCTGTCTATCTATCTATCCATCTATCTATCTATCTATCTATCCATCTAGCAATCTAGCTAGATATCTAGCTATCTAGCTATCTAGCTATCTATCTACCAACCCCTCCATCTAGCTAGCTGTCTCTGTAACTATCCATCTAGTTACCTGACCTAGCCATCTACTTATCTCCCATGAAGCGGTCTGACTGTGTATCTACATTTCTCTCTAGCCAACTATCTACGTATCTTTCTGTCTGTGTACATATCTATCTACGTATCTGCCTAGTTGTCTCACAATTTAATCATCTATCTACCTAGCTAGGTGTGTGTGTGTGTCTACCAAGCTAGCTGTCTGCCTGCCTATCTGTAACTTTCTGTCTGTCTATTCATTTATCTAGCTAGCCAACCGTCTAACCATTCAACTAAACTATTTTTCTGTCTATCCATCTATCACTCTATCCGTCTGTCTCTCTATCTAACTATCGAATAGTTTATGCAGCTGCTATTGATCTATCTATCTATCCATCTATCTGGCTGCCTGTCTTTTTATCTATCAATCTATCTATTTTCCGTATCCATCCATCCATTTGTCCGTCCGTCCGTCCGTCCGTCCGTCTGTCTCTCTATCAAACTACCTATCTAACTATCTATCTACGTAGCCGGCTATTTGTCTACCTATCTACCTGTGTACCTAGCAGTCTGCCTATCTAACTATCTATTTTTCTGTTTATATCTGTTCTGTCTATTATATATCTATCTATCTATCTATCTATCCATCCATCCATCCATCCATCCATCTATCTCTCTCTCTCTCTCTCTGTCTGTCTGTCTGTCCGTCCGTCCATCCGTCCGTCCGTCCGTCTGTCTGTCTGTCTGGCTGTATCTACCTCGCTCTCCTTGTCTGTATGCATCTTTATCTACAGTATCTCTATCTGTCTGTCCGTCTGACTGCCTCTCTACTTGTCTATCTGCCTGCCGCTCTGTCTGTCTACCTCCCTGTGTGTCTATCTGCCAGTCTTGTCTTTCCATCTAGATATCTGTAGTGCACCTATCTGTGTGTCTGCCTGTCTGTCCGTCCGTCCGTCTATCTACAGCTTGAAAACGAAGCTCTGGCGCGAAACTTCCTTTAAAGAAACGGATTTTGGAAGCTTGAAAACGAATGAAAACGAAGCTCTGGTGTGAGACTTCCTTCAAAATGGAACCAGAAGGCTTGAAAGCGAAGCTCTGGTGCGAAACTTCCTTTAAAGAAACGGATTTTGGAAGCTTGAAAACGAATGAAAACGAAGCTCTGGTGTGAGACTTCCTTCGAAATGGAACCAGAAGGCTTGAAAGCGAAGCTCTGGTGCGAAACTTCCTTTAAAGAAACGGATTTTGGAGGCTTGAAAACGAATGAAGACGAAGCTCTGGTGTGAGACTTCCTTCAAAATGGAACCAGAAGGCTTGAAAGCAAAGCTCTGGTGCGAAACTTCCTTTAAAGAAACGGATTTTGGAAGCTTGAAAACGAATGAAAACGAAGCTCTGGTGTGAGACTTCCTTCAAAATGGAACCAGAAGGCTTGAAAGCGAAGCTCTGGTGCGAAACTTCCTTTAAAGAAACGGATTTTGGAAGCTTGAAAACGAATGAAAACGAAGCTCTGGTGTGAGACTTCCTTCAAAATGGAACCAGAAGGCTTGAAAGCGAAGCTCTGGTGCGAAACTTCCTTTAAAGAAACGGATTTTGGAAGCTTGAAAACGAATGAAAACGAAGCTCTGGTGTGAGACTTCCTTCAAAATGGAACCAGAAGGCTTGAAAGCGAAGCTCTGGTGCGAAACTTCCTTTAAAGAAACGGATTTTGGAAGCTTGAAAACGAATGAAAACGAAGCTCTGGTGTGAGACTTCCTTCAAAATGGAACCAGAAGGCTTGAAAGCGAAGCTCTGGTGCGAGACGTCCCTCAAAAGTGAAACTTGAGGCCCAGGGGGCCTCACGAAAGCTATGCAATGGGGTAATGTTTTTTCACTGGGTTGAAGAAGATTACTGTGGAAAAGGACGGGAAAGGATGTATAGAATGATCAGAGATGCTAAAATATGATATGATGTGATGAGATGGGATGCGATTGAAGGGATGTGATGAGACGAGACCAGATGAGATATAATGAGATATAATGAGATATGATGAGATATGATGAGACATGATGAGACATGATGAAACATGATGAAACATGATGAGATACGATGAGACACGTTCAGACGTCATGAACCATGATAATCCATGAGGAGACATGGTGAGACATGCTAAGACCTGATGAGACATGATGAGACCTAATGAGACATGCTGAAACATCATGAGACATGAGGAGACATGAGGAGACATGATGAGACATGATGAGACATGGTGAGACATGTAAAGACCTGATGAGAGATTATGAGACATGATGAGACATGATGAGAAATGATCGGATGAGATGATGCGATATTACACAGTCATACTGAAAAGTCATGTAAAGATCATACGAATTCGAGCCCGCGAGGACCTGCCCCCAGACCCCCAAAGCTACTTTGCCAAAGCAAAAACCAACTCCAGCTAGCTAGCTACCGCTAGCTTTTAGGCTTGAAACTTGAAAACAAAGCTCTGGCCCGAGACGTCCTTCCAAAGTGACAACATGTTGACGGCACACTTGCTGTCTCCATTACCTGTTAGCAATCCTGGAGGGCGCATGGCTCAATACTACACCTGCCACGAAAAAGCTGAGCCGAAGCATACGAAGTCCTTCACCTGCCACGCGAAATGTTCGAAAATCATGTTTTGTTGAATGGAGAAAATACGAGTAGCACCCCTTTCAAAAATTAAACGTCTCTCGACCTTCAGCGTCGGTGCCGAAAACACCCTGGCCCTTTATGCATCCCGGCGGATCAAATCCACCAGACCTGCCAACACTTTTGCCTCGAAACCCTGCGCCTGCCACGTATTTCAGTACGTCTCAAATTCCTTGTGCCTGCCACACAAAACGCAATTGGAACGTCGCGAGACTGTCAGGTTTTTGTTTCGATTTTGATTTTCCAAATGTGTTTCAGACATTTTCAGACCACAGCCACGTGCAGTTTTTCGACATCTTAACTTCCAAAGGTGCTCCGACGTTGAAGTGCTTTGACACTCTCGACTTCCAAAATGATTCCAAACGTGCTTCTCCCCACAACCGTGTGCAAATTTTGGCCTTTACTTTTGCCTCCGCACCTGCTGCCGCTGTACCGAGCCTACTCTTCGACCCTCCTGGAGCACCAAACTACGGAAAAACACAGCATTTCGCACCATGGCTACCCTTCACCTGCGTGCTTGTGTCTTTTGACATCTCTTCTCTCTGACATCTCTTCTACCGGACTACCTGCTGCAACTTCCATACGTCGGAAGTTTGACTTCCAAACTTCCTTCGACTATCTATCCGTTCATGAGTTTCCATGATGTACAGACTACATGATCATGTGCATGTCTTATACCCTTCAACATTTTCAACTAGGTTTGCTTATACTTAACATCCATTGTTTCATGGCACCTGGGAGGACCACCAGGACGTAGCAACGTGAGGTTGCGGGGTGCGAGCACTTCTTGGCCATCAACGAAGGTGACAGTGACGTTGTACGACCCAGGTTCCAGCAGAGGGATGCGACAAGTCACAGAGCGAAAGCCACCATTTTCCACGAAGCTGGAGCATTTGCCACCCACACAGCATGAGGCGATGTCACATAGCCCAGGAAATTCCAAGGTGTTCCGAGCAAGAGCAAATGCTACAGCTGGTTCAAAATTCACATCCTCCACTTCCTTAGAACATTGTCCTGATGCATTGATGAAGGCAGTGACAGTGGCGCAAATGAATGGAAACACATCTGTCACATAACTGCTCACAGGAAGAAACTCCAGAAAGCTTGGAGGACCAAGGATTGATCCCAACAAAACAAGTTGACGACCTGATCGGACTGGCTCCAAGGCAGTCGGTGAGTCCTGGACTCCGTCAAGTCCACCGATGACACAGCCCACCAGCACCAGGATTTCGACGTCAGGATCAAGGTTTGGCAAAGCTATGTTGCCTGGATCTGCACAGAATGGTGGTTGAAGCGATCGAAGATGAGTCCAGTGGGTTGGTGAAGCTGTTTTGAGAGTCAGAGATCACCACAGTGCTGCTGGTTCCATCAAAAGTTCTGTGGAGAAGCTCCAGAAACGAGAGCATTGCCACTGCAAACTCTGGGTCTCCAGGTGGCAGCGACAGGATGTGGAAAGCAAACTTGGCTGACTTTGTAGCTTGAGGGAGACTCTCACATACTATCTTTGGAGCGCAAGCTAATTCGTCCCTGGTACTCCTCCTCATTCTCAATGAAATTTGCAAGTCCGAAATGAACGGTCTGCTGCTTTCAACTGTACAGGAACTCAGGGAGAGCTCAATTTTTTGATTTATGATCTGGCTTGTCTCAACCAGACTGCGTTCCCCGGGTATGAAGCCAAGGCCACGGCTAAAGGCAGGATTTGATGCGCGTTCAGGTTGCACGTAGTTGTCGGAGTCCCACACAAATGTGGTATCATGCAACGCAACCAGGCCAGTCCGCGGTTCTTGGATGCAATTTTCACAAGTGCCATTCACGAAGACAAAGGCCACAAAATTATCGATTCGGCACGAGTCGCATCTTGGCCCTGTGAAGGGATAGTCACAAATGCATCCGCACACGTCACTGGCGCTGCCTTGATCACTTTCCAAGGGGGGACCCCATCTGATGTGTTGTCCTCGGCCCCGGCTGTTGCAGAAGTCCCTTTCAAAATTGCTCCCACAACAGGAGCCCCAAAGGGAGTAGTTTCCCAGTTGCGACAAACTTCCATAGACATTGACTTCAAAACACTCGCCATATCTCATGTTGAATCTAGCCTCGGCCCGTTCGAAGCATGGCCCCCTTGCAGCTGTTCCGCAACTACCGTCGAAGCATCTCAAGTCCAAGCCTGGGCCGAAGGCCGTCAAACCGGTGCTAATCGAAGAGCCACAAGTAGAAAACTGAACTGACAAGCGATCACCAGCTTCATTGCCCTCTGGAACTTCTGGAGTGCAAAAGGTGTGTTTGGTGAAGTGAGCATCGTCTACCGTGCTTCCTTGGACAACCACACCTTGAACAATGCTGCCACATGTCATGTCAACGGGCGTCATGTTGGTCGCAGTGGCATTTGTAATGTTGGTAAGGTTGCCACCTTTACACACTGAGCGAACGGAACTTTGCAGCAATTTCCTCCCATCCTCAGAAATCACTTGAAAGCGTCCTTTTCGTAAAGAGGCTCCAATGTAGGTGATGCGTCCTTTGCCATGTGGAATGGTCCAAGCCAAACTGTTCAACCTGCCATAGAAGCCGTCGACAGAACTGGGTAAGTCCCTCCGGAAGACACACTGAGGATTGGTGAAGGAAGCCTGAAAGAGTTCTGATGGTCCATTGGCAAATCCACCACCTGAGCGGAAAATGTATCCAAACTGGATCAACACAGTGGGCCCAAAAAAAGACTGTAAAAGCAGGCATGCCTCCTCAACAGATTTGAATTGTTCCCACAGGACTTCTCGGCTACCTTGCGCAAACATGATCACGAATTACCAGGGTTGGCCTTTGTGCCAAAGAGTGTTAGAAGAACCAACAGCATTCCATACCGCAACACCACACAAGCACTTTGCACCACAAGATTTCTTGTGCAACAGCAGAGCATTTGCACCATGTTTTTTCTGGCAGTCTGTTGCAGCAAGAACTTTTTCAGCCAGTGCTTGAACCAAAGTGGGGATGTTTCCAATTCACTCCGCTTGGTTGTTCGTCATTTGGTAGAAAGTAGGCAACTTGCACTCATATATGGACCAGAACGCCCCGAACCGAATGACTGAGCAAATTTTCGCCCATCCCGAACCATCCACACCGATGGCAAGAAAACAGTCCACTGCCGGCACCGACCCTAGAATCGAGAAGCTTTGACCGATTAGAATCTATGCTGATGCTGAGCCGAGGCCCTGAGGCCGAGTAGATAATTATATATATATATTTGTTTTCCAAGGAAGAGGATCCGAACACTTCGGTCACAAACAAATTTCCTACAGCTTTGTGCAGCGCAACACACACACACACACTGACACAGCTTTCCCAGCACGGTTTGCCACTCGAAGATCCAAAACACCTATGTTTGAGCGATGGGCCAAGAGTGAAAATAAACATATAATATATATATATATTATATATATATAAGTTGCATGCGCTACTTTTCCGTGCCATAGAAGTTGTTCTATGCAGCGACACATGTTTTATGTGCAAAAGCTGCAGCATCTGACCTGCTGAGAGATGACAAATGGGAAGGGAAAAATTGAAAAGTAGGGTGGGGTCCTTGAGCGCACTGACAATTCACTTGGCAACTTGCAGACAAGTTGCATGCGCTACTTTTCCGTGCCATAGAAGTTGTTCTATGCAGCGACACATGTTTTATGTGCAAAAGCTGCAGCATCTGACCACTCAACCCCTAAGTTCCAAAACTCCGTCTATCTCTCAGCAGTGTGAACCATGTGCTGCTGGGAATGGCAGCATCAGTGAAAAACTGAACCTTTTTCAAAAGGTCTGGGAAACCAGCGGCACATGTATGAATTACTTCCTTTGTGGCAGCCGGTAGCCTCTCAACGAAAGTGACGTACTGGACCTCTTGCAGGTAGATTTCCATCGTTCTCGTCGTAGCCCAGCGGCCCCTTCGGCGAACCATTTCGCTGTCTTCGCAGCAAGACAGAAGCCATGAGGCACCTCCTGGTCTGAGTGATGAAAGATCGAAGTGTTGAGATCCACTCCCCTCCGTAGGCAGCTTAATAGCTTTCAGAAGGTCAGCCAGTCTCTTTCTCAGCGTGGAAGCTGAAAGAGGCCACAGTTTTTGTTCCCTGCTCTTTTTGGAAAAGGCTATTTGGAGTAGTTGGACAATGTCTGCTGGGTCTATTCTGGCGGCTTGATGTTTCGCGTGGCGTCCTCGAGTTTTGGGCTCCCTGATGCGAAGCAGTGCATAGGTCATTCCTGGGGCTGCGTCTTCAGGCAGAACCAAATCAGAGCGGAGAGCTTGTAAGGCCTCCCCGATCCTTAATAGTCCAGCCCAAGCCATTCCAAAAATTGCTGCTTCTTCAACCCATCCCCAAAACAAAGCGACTGCTAAAATTGCCAGCAAAACCGAAGCCGGCATGGCAGGTCTGTGGTGGAAGGGCTCATCAGCAACCCAGGAGAAGGCGTAGTCCCAAGCCAAAGTTAATTGCTTTCGGATCGCAGGTCTGGCTGCGGAAACTGCGTTGATTGTCTCGGCGAAGATTCCGTAGGCCTTTCCTGTACGGAAAAGCTCTCTCCCAAAAGCGACCAACCATTCAGAGATCTTCTCAGGGTCAGGCGGCTTCTCTTGCAGCAAAAACTTCAGAGATACGCCTCGCTCACTCCAGAGCCATACCTGGAATTGCTTCAGAAGTTTCTTCCGTCTGTTTCTTGTCGCATCCAGTATTACACGGTCTCCTTTCAGGACAGTCTCAGTTCTCATTGCAGCCCTGCGCCTCTCAGCAACGGAGGAGGCTTCCATGGCAAACGCGCCGAACTGAAATCCATCAAAACGGGGGCCTGGTGGTGCAAGGGACATCGACACACAGACACATCCGTAAAATCCAAAAAGGACACGGAGGGCCCGAAACTGACAGCCACGACGGAAGAGAGCAAACATGAAAAGCCAAAAGAGGACTCCAACCAGCAACCGATGGGTAGTGAGAGCCAAGCTCATGACACGCCCAAAAAGAGCCAGGAAAGTCCACTTGGCTAGACTGAAATCCAGGAGAGACATCATGGCACCAAAACTCCTAAAGGGACAATGGAAACTGCCAAGAGCAACTGGGTAAGTCCAGAAGGCCGGGTTGAAGTCCAAAGGGTCATGGCATCCATCAGCTTTTCCCCCAGAAACGCACGAAACAAGCAGGAAGAGCCGAATCCAGTTGGCAGCAAATCTCTTAAGGCCTACCCGATGCAGCAAGCGCAGGTCAATCCCATGACAGGCGGTGACACTGTTAGGAGCACGCTCACGGAGAACGACATCCCGTGTCGGGTCATCAGCAACATTGTGGCGGGTAGGGCAGAAAGGCCAAACAGGATACAAATCGAAACAGACCTGCAAGACAGCTGAGCGGCGGAGGAGGGGCTGAAGAAGGGTTGACGTGGAGCGACCCTTTGACAAGGCCCCCCGAGCAACGGCAGAGTCCAAGCATGACACAACCCGGGAGTGTGGGGCATTTGGACCAACCTCATTCAGCACAGCAATTCCAGCAGACACCTCCAAGGCGTTGATGTGGCGAGGTCTTTTCCAAAACCAACTTCGGGCTTCCTGCCACACCGATGTGCACATGATGTCATTTGTGACAACAGACTCAAGGCCCTCGCAAGACATGTCGGATTCAGCCAAGGCAACAACAGTCCTCAAGGCAGCCCGGAAAGCCAAAGCAAGGTGAAGTCCAAGTTCAGGGGTATATATGGCAGAGTCCTTCGTGAACTTCCCCTGAATGCAACAAGAAACGGAACTCTTTCTGGTGAGGGGAGTTGAAGCGACATGCAGCGATGATCGCCTCTTCAAAATCACCAGACTGGACCAGGGAAATCCACTCATCAAGCCAAGCCATCTTTGACCGGCGGGGTTGCTCAAGGCCACATGGTCTCGCACATCGACGGCCAACACGCATGAGGACAAGGGACCTGAAAGAGAGACAGTTGCCATGCATGACCCTAGGGTGCATCCTGTCAAATCCATAAGGCTCAACGTAACTGCGCAAGCATGGGTGAGCTGCCGGTGAAAAGGTTGTGCAAGGCGGTTCAAGCAAAAACGACCTAAACCTGTTTTCTTCAACCATGTATATGACCCATTCCAGCAATCGAAGGTCCCCAAGGTCGTAGTGCTCAGAAGCCGAAAGGTCCAAAGGTGGAGCACAAACAAGGCCAAGCTCACAGGCAGCCGCACTGACAGCTCCAACCCCTCCACAGATCTCAACGAAATCATAGTACAAGAGGGGTGAGGCTTTTGGCCTGATGAGAGGCGCAGGCACATGCTCCTCACCCTCATATTCGCCAACATGCTTAAGCATCTCTTTGAAACCGCAGTCAAGGAGAGCATAGGATCCCTTCTTTTCAGTGTCAAGCCAAAGCTCTTCGACCCTGTCAGCACCAAGTTCAGCCGCAACAAAGGCTCCCTTCGACAAAGACGCATCAGAAGCAAACAAGGTGCCAACGTAGCTCACTGCGACATTTGAACAGGTCAGAGGAGACATGATTGCAAGCAAAACGAGTTCCCTGGCAATTCTTCTGGGCAGCGGCACAACAGACGTTCCAGCACAGGACTCAGAAACCCCCAGGGCAAACAGTCCATCAACAACGCTCGAGAGACACCGCCGGTACAGCAACACAGACGACCAGTTTCCAGCAAGGCGAGACGCAAGCTGAGGGGAAAGTCCAGGAAGTCTGGCGGCTCGGAGGGACAGCGCGGCTAAGGCAAGACGTTTCGCTCGAGGGGCACCAACCGTGACACAACCTGATTGCACCGCATGTTCATCAGAGACAAACTCAGCCCCGGCCGCTTTGAAGACACTAGCAGCCTCAATGTCCTTTTCAGTGGATCCGATCAGACCCTCAGCTTCATATGTTCTCCTGGCGGCGGCCAAAGCATGAAAAGCTGACGTGTCATGTTTTGGTTTCTTGGCACCCTCCCGGCTGATCAGGAAAAAGTCATCAATGACCAAACCAGAGTACACCGGGCCTTTTGGGAAAGGGCATGACCCCTTTACCTGCTGACCATCACGCAAGAGACAAGCATCCTCAAGCAGCTGCTGGTGGGCACACAGAGCAAACTCAACCCCAAGATGGTCACCCTGAAAGAGCGAGGCAAAACCTGCAAACAGTGGCTTTGGAGTCCATTCTTTTGGGGCAAGCTTTTTGGGGATAAGTCCAAGGCGATCTCCTATGACTTCACGGCCCTTTGGGCTCTGCTTCACCGCTTCAAGCTTCTCCCTCTCAAAAGCTTCAAGACCAACAAGCTCTTCAGGTTCGAATGAGAAAGGCAAAAGGTTTGTCTGGGCCCTACTTGCAGTCACAGCAGCTTGGTGATAGAAATCTCGGCGGTCAGTAACCGAGGCAACAAGGCGCTGGCAAAACCTATCAACCCTGACCTGTGCAAGAGAGGGACCTTGAGGCAAGAAACGAGAAGGGCCATCATAACACATTTCAGACATGTTAACAAGCCTCCTATCACCTATCTGCCTGTCGCACTCAGGACTCTTGAAGGCGTTGAAAACCCTACAAAACAGCCCTGGCTCAGCTGGCTCCTCAAAAAGCCTGACAAGTCCTTTGCTGTCCCAAAGCTTCACAAGCCGCAGGCATTCGTCACGGGACTCCTTCTTGAAATTTGGGGCAGCTGAAAAATCAACTTCCAAACCATGTCGCAAAATGGCAGGCTCTTGGAACGGCAACCAAAGCGGCCCTTCGATGAACTTCTCCATGGGCCAGGCACCTTGTCCAACCAACTTCAAGCGGGCTGAATCCAAAGACCTGTAGGGGAAAAGCTGGGGAAATTCATCACGGGGAAACAAGTCAGGGTCCTCGCGAAACCTGACGGGGCCATCCAAGTACCCGCCTTGGAAGACAGGTTCAGAGTCGATGAAACGCTCAAGCTGCATCAGAGCTGCACCTAATTCAGGACCGGATCTACCTGGTGCAAGGGGGAACAGTTCACCAGATGACCCACACACTGCAACAAAGGCCCGCAGTCTCGAGTGCACAGCAGATTGAGAGACAGACGGCCTTCTCCAAAGCTCCTCAACGGTAGGGTAACGACCAAGGTACAGAAAGTCCAAAGCAAAGACAATGACATGCAGTAACCTGGCCCTGCAAAGCTTTAACAGCCTCCTCCGGGAGAGTTTGGAAAAAGATCCCCAGCACCACAGCGACGAAGACGGCAGAGGCAAAGGGAACACAGTGGTAGACAGCTTGGCAGGCTGTGGCACGGAAACTTGAAAGGAGCGACGAAGATGCCATGCAAGATCGGTCCGAGACCGCAAAATCCACCGGGGAAGACAAATGGCCCAGGTAGTGAAACTGATAGAGTCAGCAAGAGGGTTTGGCTCCGGCCCCTCAAGTGACGAATTCTTAGGACTTGATGGAGGGTCATTGCCTCCAGATGCTCTCACTCCTCCTCCTGATCCGGCGCTCCCGCACTTTGGTTCTTTCCCCTTCCCTTGGCGACTCGCTTTGGCTGAGCCTTTCCTTCTGGTTGTGGATCTGAGGATCCCTGGCCTTTCGGGCCTCCTCCCCCCACTCCTCCCGTGATCTCGAGGCGCTTGCTGTTGATGACCTCGAGTTCTTTTATAAAAGCAAGAGCCACCGTCACCCATCGTTGATCCGCAAGGTGGGAGAAGGTTCTGGAGCGAGATAGGGTGCTTTGTTGTCTGTTGATGAAGATCGAAGACGGAGGGTCTTCTTGAAGCGTCAGGAGGGCGGCCAAGTCGAACCGGCCATTGTCGATGACTGCCTGGTCGAGGCAGACCGCCAAAAGGGCAGTGGCGTCCCTCGCAGCTCCAAGATTGTCCGACTGCAAAAAGTCCAAAATCGACATCACCTGGTATAGGACCAAACCCAGATCCCGGTGCCTTCCGAAGCCCCCGTAGCGTTCCATGTATTGTGTTCCGCTGATCCCCCTGCTGAGGAGCTCTGCAGGAGTCCCAGTTGCTGGGGCTGTTGGCTGCATTCGTCTTGCCATCGATCTCAGGACCGACTGGTAGAAGGCGCCGGAATGGGTGGCTAGTTCTGCTTGAAGTCTCGCTCGTCCAAGAGCTCCCCTCGTGCTTGCTGAAGATGTCCCTCCACCCAAATCCACCATGGGGTCCTGGCTGGACTGTGCAATCTGCCCAACTAGTGCTGTGAGAGCTTGAGATTGCGCAAGGACTGCTCTCGCCAGGTCCCCTCCGGCAGCAGGGCCCAAAGGGGGCTTCTCCTCCTCCAGATCCTTGAGCTCGGGAGGTTGAAAATCCATTCCTCCAGCAAGTCCAGGCTGAGCTCGCGTCCTCGGTGGAGGTGCAGCAATCAGGTTCGCCACGGCCCCCGCATTTGATGCCGCCGTCAGACTGGATGAAAGAGGCTGGGTAAGTCCAAGAGTTCCAGCCCTGGTGGGAGCAGCCAACCTGGTCTCGAGTGCATCCTGTCTCAAAACCAAAGTTTGCACCTGAGAAGTCAGATTTGGCACCAAGTCCAAAAGCTGGTCCATGGAAGCTGCCAGGCTTGCCGTGGTAGGCCTCTTGGGCTTTTGCTGCTTTTCGGTGCCAGTAGGAGTGTCTGCGTCCCCTGGCGGCTTTCTCTGTTTTCTGGATGGCCTCTGAGAGGGAGGCGGCGGGGCTTCCACTGACGCTGCTGAGTAGTATGCCAGACCTGATTCCACATCTGAGTCTTGCACCCACTTCATTGCCAAATCGAGGGTAGGAGCAGGAGCTGGAAAAGTGAAGGGTGAGTCCAGGTCGAAGGGGATGGCTATCTCCTCCGCTCCCTCGGCAACTCGCAACCTTGGAACCAACTCCTCCGCCAAATCTACCAAAACCACGGTCACATCTGTGCCAGTTGGAGACACCAGACCTCCGTCCAAAATGACCCCTGGCATTGTGATTCTTGTAGAAGCCCCCACTGGCCCGGCATCTTCTCCAGCATTGGCCAAATCCAGGATCCGATCTGGAATCAGGCCAGGTGGGAGCGCCAGCAGCATTCCTCCGCGCCTTTTTGCAACCACCAAAGCTAGAGCCTCGGCAAAACCGTCTGCATCGTCTTGAGCAGGCCATTGAAGCACGTAGGGCTCCAGATCCTCTGCAACAGTCACCAAGCGGCTCAACAAATCCTCCTCTTCCTGCTCGGGAAATTCGAGCGCCATTGCTCCCTTGCTCAGGGCTCAATGTTGATGTCGTCCTCTTCAAATCCAGCGGCAAGGAGGTATACCTTGGCCTCTGTCTCACTTGGGAAGCTCTGTGAGATTGAGTTGGAACCTTCAAGAGTCCCCAGGGCACGCCAATAGGATGCTGATGACCTGAAAATGACTGGACCCACGACAGAGTTGGCTCTAGCCACAGCGTAGAACCGAGAGCGCAAATCCAAAGGAGGCGTCCTGTTGGGAGAGTGCACCCTCTTGTCCTTGACAGCCCGAGCCCAGCAGCCAGCAACCCAAGCACGGTCAATGCGGGCAGAACCTGACAGAGTAGCACCTGTGAGCTTAACACCCAATCCACGCAGATGAGCAGGACAAGGACGGAAAGAGGCCAGGATTTGGTCACGGGTTTCAAGTCCAACGGAAACCGGAGCAGGTTCGGAAGGCGCAGAACTGACAACCTCAAAAGACCCAACGGAAGGCTCAGGGGAAGCAGACCGAGCAGGGCGGAAAGCCGAGATGAACTGGACAAAGTCACCAACCAAAGAAGCAGGGCCAGACACAGACACGGCCAAGCCGGAGATTTCAAGGGAGATATCAAGATTGCCGTCGTGGCTGGTACCCATGCAAGTAGCCTGACAAGGCTGCACGTGGACGAGAGGAGGCTGAAGCGGGTGGAGACTGACCAGGGGAAGCAGGTGTGGAGGCCGCAAACGGGAACAGGTCAGACCGAAGCAGAAACCAGGCACACAAGGCAACACCAGACAGAAGTCCACAAAGGAAGCAAGCCACAGCCAAGGAGATCGAAGGGCCAGTGCAGTAGAAGGGACAAGCCAAACCCCACAAGTTGGAGCGAAGCCCCTGCACCACCAAAGAGATCAGCGCAGAAGCTTCGAGCATGAAAGTCCTTGAGCGCACTGACAATTCACTTGGCAACTTGCAGACATATGATGCTATAAAGAGCAACCAGGATTTGCGTGTAATCATGTGGGAAGTTTAGGGTGATACTCAAAGTAAGTAGTATGCCTGCAAGACCAGGATGTCACCCGAGCCTGTCAGCTGTAGCTCCTGAACCTGCTCGCAGGCTCTGGTAAAGAACCGTGAGCCCACGAGATCAGTGATGAGCCGTGGGGGGTTGTTAGTATCTTTGAACATCACCAAATGGATACCATCTTCCAAGATGCTCCGATTCAACTCACTCAGTGTGTCTGGCTCCAAGTTTCTTGTCGATCCCAAATCCAGTAGGACTTGACTCTCTGGTGGCAAACCATCGCTTAATGCTGCTTCGAAATCGGCAACTCTGTCTCGCACTGTGACGGAGTCGGCGAATCTACGAAGTTCGGATGGCATATCATTGCCTACAGCGTAGATGGGGCATGTGTTGTTGGCGGGAATGACGGTCTCAGTGGTGCAAGTCATGGAGATGGTGTACTCCCCTTCAGCAGCCTCCACAAAAATCTCGTAGCATTCCCCTGCCACGAAACTAAGTGAACCCTCTGCTCGACGTGCTCGTCGACAATCTCCACAATCATTGCAAGAAAAGTCGATGCCTAGCGGACTGGGGGCTGAGGATGGCTGAGGTGCAAGTTCCTCTAGATGATACCCTAGGCTCTTGGAGTTTCAACTCTACAAAATGAAACTGCTCAAGCTTTGCAACTCTCGCCATTCCGAGTACCATCTTGAGAAACACATCACAGCCGAGCCTGGACCACGGATGTAGAGCCAGGTTTCCACATTTGAATCACAGGTGCTGATTTGCGCCAAGCCTGTGGTGTTGGGACAAAATAGGAAACTTCCATCAGCGTTTGGATTGCCGATTAGATCCGGTGCTCCACTGGTCGAATTGGTCACCGTGATCCCGCATTCCAGCAGCATTGGTGCCTGCGACTTGGCCTTCACAGGACACATAAATGGCCAAGCACCATGGGGGCAAACAATTTGCAATGAGACTCACGAGCTTTCCTGGTGTTCAGTGATCCCATTCAAGGCTTGACATTCGGCCTGTTTTTAACGTTTTGACTACCAACTCATTAGCGCAAACTCCTTGTAAAACATTCTGGCAACTAATCAATAATTGCGACCCTCAACGCGCTGCATGGACACTGCTCACCTGCTTTGTGCCAACATTTACAGCTGCTGCAACGCCACAGGCAAAGGCGAAAAACTTTGCTGCAGCAGCCATAGTAGCCATGGTTACTAAACGGCAATGCGTTTCTAAACGTTGGCAGTGGATCATGTCTCCTCATGTGAGATCTCCCATTTGCATACCGTTGGACATTGTCAAATTATGCAGATGCGTAATGCTCCGAAGATATACCACCGAGGTCTGTTTTCGACTCATCCTACGTCTGAGCAGGCTTGAAACCAAAAGATCACAGAAGTCCGAACAAGTCTGCTTTCATCCATGCAAGAGCTCTGCTTCACTGGTCCACCAGCTTGGATGCGAATTCACAGGTGTTAGTAGAAGAACTTCATAACTATTCATAACTTAGTAAATTGCAAAGAAAGAGAAATGCTTACAGTAGATTCAATGCTCGACTTGACGCCTGTGGCTGATTTATTTGGCCGTGGTGCGGAAGTCTGGAACTCACCAAAATTATTTTCAGAACACGGTTTACCTCCAGTAAGAGGTTCTGATCAGTTTTGAAGATGTCCATGACTCACCGAAATCGTGGCCAGGTTGGACAATGAAGTTGGCCGAGCTGCACATATTGTTCAAGGTACTGCCACAAGATAAGTTGGAAGTTGATTAGTTGAATTGCCACAAAAATCCAACGCTCGCATAACGCATTGGCAAAGCAAAAGGTTCGATACTTGTGACTGCGGGGTTGCGTTTTGGGCTATGAGCCCCACTTGTCGGTTGGGTAGCTTGGGGGTGTGTTCAGCATTTGACCCACAAAGATCGCTAAAATAGTAATCCAGTTCAAAATAACCCATAGGCTGCACACTTTAAAGAGAATTGTTGAAGATGAGAAGTTCGCTCTGTAAGAGGATTCTGAATGGTAGTGGGTTCTCTTTTAGGCTTTGTACGTTTTGTTTCGCCTTGGGATATCCTACGTTCTTGCTGTGATTTGCTGAAGCAAACACCTGTGCTTCAAAGAATGTGAGTCAACTTGCTCTGCCATGGTGGCGGTCAGCCGCATGTTTTTCTGCCAAGTTTTCATATCTACAAAGAATAATCAAGCGGGAAACTTCAGTTGTTTCCAGATGCCGAGACTCAAGCTTGCAACAATGTTGAAATCACATATTCTATTTTGGAGGTAGTATGGAAAGGCTTGCAATGAGTCCGGCACTTCTAGATGAGCATTGAACCATCAAGCAATGTCACTTGATCAAGAGTTGAGTACCGTCTGACACAGCCAGATTGAGCTGTCGCCATTCGGTCGCTTCGGTCGCCAGGTCTCTCAAGTTGCGCTATGAGAGAAAACCTGGCTGTGAGCGAAGCGGCATTGAAACCAGCGGCGCAAGAAGCAGCTGACGAAGCTGAAGATGGGAAGGATGGAAAGGTTCTCAAATCTGAGCAATCTGAGCACCAGGCCAGGCGTGTCCATTTACAGTGTCGAAGTTGATTCCCCTTTGTACGACACTAGCAGCATCTCTTTTCCTTGCACAATTGTGAAGTTTGAATCAACCAAACACCGATATGATGTAGATTGATGTAGATGTTTGGTGGCTCAAACAGTTGTTGCTGAAAAATCCTCCCATTTTTGTTACAGCCCCCATTTTGTGCACTTGTTGCACTTGTCGCAATGCACCAATCCCACCAATCCACAGGACTTCGTCGAGCCTCACTCACCTCATAGCCACGAACTCTTCACGTGACAGAACACCATCTCCGTTCACATCCATCTGAGCGAAAGGACAGCTGGTCTGTAAGAAATGATGATATGCATGCAGTAGATTGAAGAAATACAGTAAACAAACAAACAAGCAAGCAAGCAAACAAACAAACAAACAAGCATTCTGTCAAAAAGTGTATATCATATATACACAGTGTGCATGATATATTCTTATTCATACACACAATTGTCATCTATTATCAACATAAACACAAACACACATTGGATCTTCACCAGAGTACCATACCCCTGGCAAAATCCCCTTTGTCGAAGCCAGGCCTGTGCAAAGGCATCCTTGGTTTTTCAGGGCGCCAAGCAGGCGCCCTTTAGTCGCAAAGCAGTTGTGCATTCATGGAAATTAACTATGGTATCATGATGATATAGTGGGATATCATGGGCAAATGAATTCAATGTTGAATTGGAAGGCTCTTCAGTTGTGTCTGCTGGAATATGATTACATCCCGTTGTATGTATATATGAACTCATACATATATATATATATACATATATATATATAAATAAATATCCCATGATATCCCATGATATTCATGTGATTTTTAAATGTTTTCACAGTCTGAGATTCAGGCTGTCTCGCGTTTTGCACCACATTTGCGGCAAAACACGGCGTCGGGCATGAAGACATTTCCTTGGCTTCCAGCAGCTCCTTTAAAGTTAGGCCAAAGCCTTGTGGCATGATACTTGACAGTTATAACATGACCGTGGTCGACCCAACTCCACGAAGCTACCATTTGGGGATGGTTTATAGAACAAATTTCTGGTGATATTGATTGGGGATGATCTATTTTGGGTTTACCACATCAACTGGCTACTAGGATGATATATATATATAACTTACATAACCATCATGACTATAGATACCAAAACCATCACTGCTTGATTGGAAAGTTTGGAAACCCTGCTGTCTTCACTAAAGGTGGAGTCCTTGTAGCCACAACAAAAGGATGGAAATCCCATCGTAGAAATGGCAGTTTTTGACACAATTATAGTATTCCTGAACCATGAAAACTGTAGACTTAACAGACATAAAATGGGAAAGTGACCTTTCAATACTTGGCGCATAGAGCTGGTGACACCAGGAGTTAAACCCTTGAGAAAAGTGAAGCTACCAAGGCTGCACATGATGTTCTGGTTGTCATAGACTCTTTTACTGTTTCTAAAGACATTTCCCCAAGCCCGAATGCACCAGCTGGATTCCAAGTGCTGAGCTTAAGTCATGCTTGATGGCCCCAATATAAAGATGTGATGGCCGCAAAATACAGCGGGCCCAAAATCATGAATCCTCCAAGGAAAAACTATGCAAAAAGAATTTTCTAAAAAGTGCAATTGGTTTGAACCAGACCTAGTCACGCAAGCATCCAATGCTGATTGCGACAATCAGCTGGTCGCTGGCTCCAATCCCATAGAACATGTTTGAGATAAAAAAAATTGAAGGTCCCCAAGAACAGCGATCATTCATTCCCAATGAGAATCTTGCCCTATGATCAACGCCCCCACTGGGTTGGCCCACCGCAGTTGGCGCAGGTTGAGGCCTCGGGCCCAGGGCATGTCCAGCGACTCCCAATGAACTGTTTTTTAGTGCTACAAGAGATGAAAGAGCTGGGCAAAAAACTCCATTGTTGCCAACTGGGACGTTCACAAGTGGAAATCCATGTTTCAACCCTTCCAATCTAGTATTTCTCCGCCAAACCACTGCATCAAAGCGGCTGGATTTCCGGCAGTCATGTACTGGCCGCCAGCCAGTTGCGACATGTACTGCGGCGCTGCAGTCTGGGCTGGTGCTGCCGTGTATTGAGAATATTGGGAATATTGTGGTGCCATGGTGTATTGCCCGGCGCCAAGATATTGCCCTGGAGCTTCAAGGACCTGGGGTACGGATTGTGGTGCCACAGTGTACTGGGCTGGTGCCACCGATGCAGTGTACTGAGCAGCTTGGGTTGAGAATGGCATGGCGGAATACTGGGCTGGGGCTGTTGTGTACTGGGCCGGAGCTGCTGTCATCTGTGGTGCGGAATATTCCATTGGTGGTGAGAGCGAGTATTGCTGAGTCATGGCAGGAAACTCCATGGGGCGGGAGGCCAGCTGAGGGGCTGAATATTCACCGCCAGCAAATTGCATGGGAGGAGCGGTGTATGTTTGTGGTGCAGCCGTGTAAGTGGTCGGCTGTGCCGTGAAAGTAGCAGGCTGAGCAGCGAAGGCTGCACCTCCAGGCTGTGCAAAACCTGCAGGTTGTTGTGTGAACATGGGAGGCTGGGCAGAGGAATAAATCTGAGGCTGTGCTTCATAGGCAGTGGGAGCTGGCATCTGTGTGGAGGCTGAAAATTGAATTGGTGGAGTGAATGAAAGCTGGTTTGGCCGCACATAACTTGAAGGGCCTCCAAACATGGGTGGAGGTTGCGCACTGGAGTAAGCTGGCTGGGTCATGGCATTAAAGGCTGCTGCAAACTCATCTCGTGAGAGAACCCCATCCTGATTCATATCCAGCTGCTGGAACATCGTTGGAGCTGCAAACATGGCTGGATCCGCCGTGGGCATCTGCAATGGCACATAGCTCGGCATGTTGGGCACCGAAAATGGCGAGGCCTGGGCTGGAGGAGGCACGAAGGATGTCTGGGGTGCTGCATAAACGGCACCAGGAGGTGGTGTTTGAGCAGCAGGGGAGGTGGTTGGGGCAGGGGTTGTGGCAGGGGCAGCCAAAGGAGGTGCAGCATACAGCATCTTTCCGGCTGGTGGTTTTGCTGGTTCAGGTGCTGCTTCTGGTGCTGGTGCTGCTGCTGGTGCCGTTTGCGTTGGAGCTGCCGCTGCAGCTGCTGCAGCAGTGGCTGGCGCAGCATAGACTGGCACAGTGGTCTGGGCCATGGGCTGTGCAGTCTGAGCCATCTGAGGCGGAAGTACAGGTGCCACATAGCTCAAGGATTGCTGCGGTGCAGCAGCCATGGGTGCGGCCATGGGCACATAACTGTTGAATCCCTGGATCTGTGGCTGGATCTGCGGTATCTGCACTGGAGGCATATGGGACACCTGGGGCATCTGGGACACTGGCGGCAACTGGGACATCTGGGGCATCTGGGACACCTCAGGCATTTGGGTCACTTGAGGGAGGTGGGACACCTGAGGCATCTGGCTCACTTCAGGCATCTGGGTCACTTGAGGCAGCTGGGACACCTCAGGCATCTGGGTCATTTGAGGCAGCTGGGACACTTGAGGCAGCTGGGACACCTGAGGCATCTGGGCCTGCGGCATTTGGATCACCTGTGGCATTTGCGCCACCTGTGGCATTTGCACTGCCTGGGGCATTTGGGCCACCTGGGGCATCTGGGCCACTTGGGGCATCTGAGCCACCTGGGGCTGTGCGGTGAAGGCTGCAGCAAATTCCTGCCTCGAGATCACTCCATCTCTGTTGGTGTCAAACTGGGCAAAGGTGGAAGGTCCACATGCTATTTGGGCCATTGGGGCTGCTGCCACTTGATAAGTTGGTGCAGCCTGAGCTGCTTGGGCTGGCTGTGCAGTCGTGTACGTTGGCGCTGCCATTTCTGTGGGTGTAGAGTATGTCATGGGCACAGGTTCAGCAGCCTGCGGTGCCGCATAGGTTTCAGCAGGCTGCATCGTGTAAGCAGCAGGTGCTGCTTCAGCAGGCTGTGCTGCATATTGAGCAGTGGTGGGATATGATGCGGCAGCATAGGTCACAGCTGGCTGAGCTTCAGCCTGCGGCTGTGCATAGAGTTGTGCTGCTTGTGCATATGCTGGTGCTTGAACTGCGGGAGCTGCACTTTGCGCAGGGGCATAGGTCACCTGCGGAGCAGCGGTTTGAGCAGGAGCAGCAGCAGCTGTGGTCTGTGGCATCTCACTGACAGCTCCATACGTCACAGATGCTGGTTGAGCCGTGGCATATGTCACGGGGATTGGTTGGGAAGCAGTGTACGCAGGCTGGTTGATGTAGTTGGCACCCGTGTAGCAGCCCCCATCTTGTGCCGTGGTTCCATACACCGCAGTGCCAGCGTTGTAGACTCCTCCCTGAACTCCAGTGGTGGTCCCAGCCTGGCTAATGGAGCGATTTTTCTTTGCTGATCAAAAAGATTTCGCATAATTGGACGATGGGAAATTTTACAGTAAAATGTATAAATTGTTGAAAAAGAACACGGTTCGAGTAGATGTTCGTGAAAATTACACCCTCGTAGACCCCAAACAGTTATTCCATATCCATTGCAGCGTCTCTGTGCATCTGTGTGGTTACACTAGCTCCTGATGGTGGCAATTTTTGATCCAGTGCAATTGAGAACAGCATGAATCACAACAAAAATTTCTCGTGCCATGCGGCGCCACGCAGTTTCATTTTTTTGCCACAAAATTTGTATCTGAGATAATAAGAGGGAAACAAGTTAGGAGACGAGTGGGAGACAAGTGGGAGACAAGTGGTAAAACGCATAAAACCATGGTGGAACATGATTGGATTTAAAGAACAAAGACAAACTCGAAACACAAATGACATCATGATAAAACTAGGACAGGACACCGCCACTAAGGCACACATATGATTGAAGACTAATGACTTCGGAGACAGATCAAGTAGGAGACAAATGGTGAGAGACAAAGATGGAAGACACACAAAGGCGAACAGGCGAAAGAGCCGGACACCACCACTAAGGCAAACCGATAATTGGAGACAAATTACTTGGGAGCCGGATAAATTGGGAGGCACATTGCAAGAGACAAACGATGAGGGACAAGTGAAAGCAAGGAAAAGACATCCGGAGAGCCGGACACCATTAGACAGAGTGGGAGACAAATGAAGGGAAACAAGTAAAGAGACACATCCAAAGAGGCGGACACCACCAGCCAGACTGGGAGACAAGTCAAGAGAAACATGCGGAAAGCCAGACACTACTAGGCAGACAAGTTAGGAGAGACATCTGGAGAGCCGGGCACCACTAGACACATCGGGAGACACACAGGGGGGGACATAAAGAGACGTGACTAAGAGACAAATGAAGGGAGGCAAGTGAAGACAAACATCCAAAGAGCCGAACACCACCAGCCAGACTGGGAGACAAATGAATAGGGACACATCGGGAGAGCTGGACACCACCACCTGGAAAGAGGCAGACACCTCTTAAGAGAGAACTGAGAACCCCAACAATAAACTGTTTGTGAAATCCAATCAAATAATTCCGATAATAGAATGTGTTTCCCGGTTTTTATGCTATCAAACATAAAATGCATCTGAACACTGGAACAGCGAAGGCCTGTGCTCCCATCATAGCACTGAACTCCTGGTCCATCCAGGAGCACTGAAACCCGGAACCAGCACACTGCAATTTTTGCACGTTTTACTCATCTGTGCAATTCTCACCAAGAAAACAGCACATCTGAACTCCTCTCGACTCAGCTTGCCATCATTGTTGACATCATAGGCCGCAAAAACGTCCTGGCACTCAAGCTGCGTGGTTGGAAAATGCAAATTCGGTTGGGAATTTCCAGTCAAAACTCTGTTATTTTTCTGCATGTGACAGCCACATGAAATCCCTTTGACCTTTGACCTCTAGCATTTGGACCATACAAATTAACCCTTCGACACGCTCAATCAGTTATCCTAAATGACTGGACATTTCTTGCAAAGACCTATCTACCAAGTTTACACTCAATTTCAGGTGGTGGATTTCAGAGCTAAATTCATTCCATTGTCAAAAACTCTGGTTTCAGGCGATGACAAATCCATTGTTTTTGTTCCCAAATTAAAACCAAATTCGATTTTGTTATTTTCGTCAAAATCATCCATTCATTGACAAAATGCACCATCCACAGTGGCTCTGGTTCTACGGTCCGTCATGATGATCAAACAAAGTGGGGCACGAAATCACAAGTTGCGATGTCGGGCCAAAACGCTACACAGCCAAATTGTTCGTTTAACGAGATTCCCTGCAAAAAGACAAACCCCTACAAGGTTTCGAAGAAGCAAGTGACCTACCTAATAAACACACCCATACAAAATACTAAAATAGGACCAACACCAGTCAAAAATCCAGCCATGTACCAATTCAGAATCCGGAATCGAAAACCTACATGTGTCACTGTCATTATTTGTTTCATGAGTTCCATCGGAAATGCTGCAAAAATGTTCAAAATTGCAAATTGTTGTATAAGTTGTCCAATTTATACCTTTTGCTGGATCAACTCGTCACAAATTTTATCAAACGCGCGCAAAAATTGTCAAAGGGGCGCCAACAACAATTTTTGCCTGGAGCCTGGACAATATGCAGAAACAAATGAAACCAAACGTGCAAATTCGTGCAGTTTTCCTTCAAACCATCAAAAGTCATTGAAACGAACAAGAATCAAGGTCGAACAGATTTTTTTGCTGATTTGACCTGAAGGATCGGAAAATGTGAATCAACAGCCGTAACGCGCGTTGTTTTGTGCCCAAAGGGCCTGGCAATGTAGATTCAGACATGATTTCATGTCCATGTGAACTGGAATGGATTCCTACACTGACATCTCGTTTTGTGCGTGTCATCCCTGCTTCCATGACTGCCATGCGACACATGGGCATTGTTCAAAGTATTTCGTACTCCTCCTCAAAAGGGCTGAGCTTTCAATTTGCCTCTTTTGTAAATCCCTTGGCATCCATGACAGTCTCGTCAGCGCTTCTTTCTGAAAAGCTATCAAATTGAAAAACCAAATTGAATAGCAAAATTTCAGGTTCCTGAAAAAACTCGTAGGAAAACGTCGATTTTGATGCTACAAAGTGTCAAAAGTGGTGGTGCTCCCACGTGCCTCGTCTCGAGTCTCTGGTTTTCTTGTGGCTTCGCCGCGTCTATAGGGGAAGTGGCAAAGCCTCTCCTTCTCGCATGTTTCCAACTGTGGAAATAGGCGGAAGTCTCGCACGAAATGCTCTTTTTGTGATCCCACCTGTCTCGTTTCGAGTCTGTGGTTTTCTGGTGGCTTCGCAGTGTCTATGGGGGAAGCTGCAAAACCTGTCCATCTGGGTTGTTTCCAACTGTGGAAATAGGCGGAAGTCTCGCACGAAATGCTCGTTTTGGTGCTCCCACCTGTCTCGTTTGAGTCTCTGGTTTTCTGGTGGCTTCGCCGTGTCTATGGGGGAAGATGCAAAACCTGTCCATCTTGGTTGTTTCCAAGTGTGAAAATTGGAGGAAGTCTCGCACGAAATGATTGTTTTGGTGCTCCCACGTGTCTCGTCTCCAGTCTCTGGTTTTCTTGTGGCTGCGCCGTGTCTATGGGGGAAGCTGCAATACCTTTCCTTTTTGGAGGTTTCCAAGCAGGCTGTCATGTCGTTTTGCGTGGCAGGCGTGTCACTTTGTGACATTCCTTGTATGTCGTTTTGCATGGCAGGCGTGTCACTTTGTGACATTCCCACTTGTTTGATAATGTGTCGAAAGTCGTTTTGGTGGTGGGCGCAATACTGTTGCGACGTTTTCGCACGATGCGTTGCAGTGTTCGTGGCAGGCGCAGCACTTTAGATGTGTTGCGTTTTCTTTTCCAAAATCGCTTTGTCAGAGCTGTGTCGAGTTGTGCAAAGTGTTTACGCTCCACACTTTACATTCTACACTTTACACTCCACATTCGACATTTGAGAATTGACACTTTACACTCCACATTCTACACTCCGTGCTTTACACTTGCATTCCGTAGTTGTCACTTCAGAGTTCGCTTTTGACATTGGGCACTTCACATTACAGATTGTACACTTTACGTTGCACATGCGCACTTTGGGTAGTGGAGGCTTGACTCTGCTGACTGATGTTTCCGAGTTGTTATCGTGGTGCGAGTTGTCATGTTTCACTCAATTTGGTTCGTCAGATTTCGCTGTGCTCAGCTTCAACACTTCGATCGACACACACAGGTCGTGACAGAACAGATGCAGATTTCTGAATCACTCGATTGAAACCGTTTCCAGTGTTACGTTTTTTGACGTCATGCAGGTTGTAGTGATGTTTATAAGATTGCTGGGCTCGGCTCAAGCATGTGGGTTGTGCAGATGTCTGTTTTCAATGGTGTTCATGGGGGTGGTGTTTCAAGTGTGCGCAGAACTTGCCACAGTGTTTGCGGCACTTGAAGCACAGTATTTGCAGCATAGTAGAGATATGGTTGTTAGTGGTCATTTGAATGAAGGACGTGTGTGTGTGTGTGCGTGTGCGTGTGCGTGCCTGCGTGTGTGTGCGTGTGTGCGTGTGTGTGCGTGTGTGTGTGTGTGTGTGAAACCCGCTAGCTGTCATGCAGGAAAGAATCAATAAATGTCAAATTGAGCAGGGGGCAGTGAAAGAGTTTGTGGGATCACTGCCGACGAAGACGCCCACTTTCTCTGGTGATGCATTGGGAGACGTCCTGATGTGTACCTGCAAAATAAACTTGACAAGCTGCTCTCATCAGGCTGTTCAGGTGATCAATCAGGTCGGAAAATCGATTTGAACATGTCTACGTCACTCAGCTTCATTCAGTTTCTTTCAGTTTCATTATCCAGGCGAACCCTCAGGCGATTCCCTAGCCCTAGGTCACTACACAGGCGAGGACTACCTAGACATTAAAAAGTTCCACATCAGAGTAGATTCTACTCTCAGCAGTGTGTAATGGGCACAGTCTCACTGACTTGTGAGTGCCGTCTGTACGCTCTGTGTGGCGTGCACGTGACCAAAGCCGGCCTTCCGGTGTAGAGTGGGGTATTGCAATACCTCGGAATTATGACAGGACTTGGTGCCCGTGGGAATTTGGATTGAAGCCGGAATGTATGAATTACGGAATCACGAAAAAAGTCACAAGACAGGAATACGTCACAAGACAAGCAGCAGGCCGTATGCCCGGGAATTATGAGTCAAAGAACCGAATCAATTCTGTCTCCTACGGCCGGAAGCCTCAGACATACATGTGTTAGCATAACTGGACATCTAACTTTTTGTGTTTCATTTTTCCAGCTCTCTCATTTTTGACAGATTCACATTCGCCATGTCGTCTCTTTCCGAATCTGACATCCCAGCTGCTTTTCCGAAGTCCCGATGTGCACCTAGTACTACTCCTCCACCAAATTGGGTTGCACCTGCTAGTCAGCAATTTCATGTTCCTGCAAATCAACAAGATCGATCACCCAGTCTGGAAATCACTGGGCAGTTTGGACAGTACCGCTTGCAAGGGACCAACCCACATGAAGCTCAATCATTTTTACAAGCCATTCTTCAGACGGAAAATCACCAGATGCAATGTAGGCAAATTCAACAGATGTACGGAAATTCGATGTTTGAATTGTGGTCCAATTTCAACCAACAAATGACGAATGCCGAATTTTTGCGACGTGTCGGTGCCCTGCCCTCAGCAGCAACTGTGGGTGCTTTGCCCTCAGCATCGAATGTAGACTTCTCTGGATCGGCCGATCAGACACACTCACTTCGAACCTCTGGATGTTCGTGGTCATGGACGAGACAAAATATTGGGATTACGACGGTTTACGATCGCACTTAAGCCAAGTGTCACATCCGGCGTGCCCAACACCGGCCCTCTTCGGTTCAAAGACGACAAACAAACGTTTCACAAACAATGCGACCAACCCTTAATTCAGAGTCAAAAATGACACCATTTCATGTGCTTCACGTTGCATTGCCATTTCGTGACGATGTGTGCAAATTTACGTTCTTGCAAGTCAGTTAGGGTCATGTAGCACTTTGCGTTTAATCATGTGATTTTTCAATTTTTATCGCGTGTGAAAAGGCCAGGTCGGTCAGGTCACTGTTTCCGTTTCATGTATTATGAAGCGCCTAGAATTTCATGAAGGGTTAAGTTTCGGATCCTAGTTCTCTAAGACTTTGCTTGCTTTTCAAAGTGATCTGCACTTCGTTTTGACTTGCACTTCGTTTTGACTTGCACTGGTCTTTTTGACCAACTTTCCTTATGACAAACGTTCGCTTTCCAATATGAAGTGGATCAAGTTTGCAGTTCAGCTAGGAGGTAGAACATGAGTTCTCATCATCGCGACTTACGACCACGGCCGGGGGCCTTATGACGATCTGAAGATGGTCACAAACGTACCGGATCGGCAGCTCCAATCTCTGGTTTTCGAGTCCAATGCTAACTCAAAGGCCGGGGGCCTTATGACGTAATTATTAATTGAATTCTGCTGTAAACTGCTTTATGGGTGATCATGCACAATCTCCTGATTCTCTTTTCCATATTGGACTCTGGACACTGCCAACGACCGCGTTATTTGCGTACACTTCTTTCAAACTAGAATGGCTAAATGGTGGTACCTCTATCGGTACATGGGACGAATCAGAAAGGATTGCTATCAAGGCTTTGGAAGTACTGATATTACCATTTTGCTGCATTTAGAAGTCTGGGCCTTAGTCGAAACTGTTGACCTGGTGATGGTCAACCATGACCTTGACATCCAAGAAAACCCTGATTCAGACTATAGTTTCGTGGATCCATCAAACCACCACGCATCGGTCCGTATGACCCAAAAGTATTCATTGCAGGAGGGAGCATGTGTCCAGAGCCAACTAAGCTTCCAGCTTGACCAACTAAGCCCGGAGCCGCTTGTGCTGTTGTCCCATTTCCTACTGCTGCTTGTGTGTTATTTCCTCGCATCGCAGTACCTGTGGACGAATTACCTGCAGCACCTGCATTGCGCACTACTCCTGGCTCTCCTCCTCCTTCCATTCTATTCATCATAGGCGATCCCATCGCACCTAATTGCAATGGGTTCATTCCTAGCGCACTACCTTGGTCATTAGGTCCTTGTCCCTGGTTACTTCCTGGCATCATCGCGTCTAATTACACTACGCGTGGAGCACAACCGCTCCGCTACCATGCGAAAATCCAACAGGACCCAATTACAACCACTAGTCGCGTGCGCGTGCGTCCCGCGTCGAA